ATATATAAGGTGGGTTTTAACAGGTTTTCTTTAGCAAATGTAAGCAAAATAGCAATGTAAATTAAGCTAAAATGCATTTAAAATAAAAAAATAAATATTTAGTTTTTAAACCTATTCATTATTGCAAAGATGAATACCTACTGTTACACAATCTACTGTACATACACATACTAGCGTTTACAAAATGAATTTAAAGTTACAAAAAAATTTCTTGCAGCAGGACATTCATAACAAGAGACCAGTAGTTCATATTTTTTTTTTATATGTGTCAATGTCGCCATCAATAATTTCTAAAACATTGGAGTTCATTAATTTGTTGACATTTAGGAAGGTAGATTATCACGATAAGAGCTTTTAAACTTCCATGAATTAAAATAGCGCACCTGACACTGGTTTATTATTTATTTATCAGTCGTTTTGATTTCAGTTGTTGTAAGCAAGTGAATCTTGAAAACGCATTTAAGTCTAATTTAATTATTTAGCCAAAAAATAATAACTTTTTTAAATAAGTTTTTTATTTTGTTTTAGTAATGCCTATTTAAACCGATTGACTTGAGCTGTAATGTGAGTTTTCTGACCAATGGCTATATTAAACGTTTAACAAACGTCGATCAAACGTTTAGAATAACGACTCATATAAGTCAATACTGTAAACGTTTCAACGACACTTAATAATCGTATATATTAAAAGATTTAAAACGTAGATTTTAAATCTATAAATGTTGACGTTTAATTAAGGTCGATTAAAGGTTTACAATATTGACTAATGTAAGTCAATTTTCAAAACGTTACGTTTCCAACCGTTACGCTTCCAAACCTTACGTCGAAACGTCTAAACGGCGAACTATATAGCTCGCTAAACGTTTTATCCATTTTTTCAGTAATTTTGACTAAATATTGACCTATTCTGAACCAACCTGTGCTTACTGGGACAATCTTAAAAAGGGATTTTTATTACATTTAATTAGTTCAACCAATCTAACCACCAAATATTCCCTAACCATAAATAACATCATAACTACTAAAAACTAAAAACCACCAAAAATATTTGATTGATGAAAATCTTACTTTTTTGAACATTTTTTTACAAAGATTTTTTTAGTTTTAGGAGCCTTCTAAAATTCTAGCAATAGTAAGGAAAAAGTAAGTAAAAATAGTACAGTAATGGATTTTATGTACAGTAATGGATTTTATATACAGTAATGGATTTTATGATTTGTATGTTAGTCATGATACCACATGTTTTGTTTTAATTTAATGTAAACACGTTAATGTATTGATAATTAATAATGTTAAAATTAATTTTTAAGTATGTTTATATATATATATATATATATATATATATATATATATATATATATATATATATATATATATATATATATATTTTATTTTTAAGGAAACTTTTTTTTTTGAAATTTTACAAGCGTTTTTCGATGAAAAGATCTGACCTTCTTAAGTTTTTTAAAGAATATTTAAGTAAAGAACAGTTAATTAACAATTAATAATTTTTTTTTAAAACTCAACTCCTTCCCCTTCTCCCCTCCCTAAAGAAATATTTATACATATCCGAAATTTTTTTGTTTAAAGGATCTTCATTATTTAAAACATTTGTGCAAATATTTTAAATAATTTGTACAACTTTAAGCTGTCCTTTTTAAGTTTTATTTAAAATTGAGAATAATTTTATTTTTTCATAAATGGTAACCTAACGCAATTTAACAGGTAAAAACAATAAAATGGCATGACTAGGATAAGTATGACAGAACTTTTATAGTCTAATGATGTTGTTGCTTTTAAAAATTTTAAGTGTTTTAATGTTTTATTTTAGACCACAGTAATTTGATATTTTAAAATCCTGTTTCTGAGTCTTTACTCATTTAAAATAATACCGTCCAGACAAAGTGATGAATAATGTAATTCTATACCGTTTTATTGAAAAGTATTTTTTATAAAAATATTTTGTGTAGCAGAAGTTAAGTTTGAGACAACAAATTATTATATAGGTTTTCTATCAAAAGATTTTGATAATGTTGGTCATACATATCTTCTTTGAGTCCCTGTCTGTTTATATAAATCGTTATTTTTTTTTTATGAAAACGTTTCTTTTTTATTTTCAATTGTATGAACAGCAAAATACAAGTTGAATATATATATATATATATATATATATATATATATATATATATATATATATATATATATATATATATATATATATATATATATATATATATATATATATATATATATATATATATATATATATATATATATATATATATATATATATATATATAAAGAGAGAGAGAGAGAGAGAGAGAGAGAGAGAGAGAAAGAGAGAGAGAGAGAGAGAGAGAGAATATAAACTCACAGTTTTATATGTACTGTGGTTATTTTTGTGAATAATTTAAGCTCAATTCAAGCCAATTTTCTATTTAACTGATCTCCTAATATTATAACCAAAAGTTTTTCCAAATTTGGTCAACCTAAAACGCAAATAAAGCAAAATTTTTTAAAATGTCCAAAAATATATAGTAAAATGGGGTCAAATGGAATAGTTAAGGATTTTAATTTTTTTTATTTTTACGGAAAAAAAAATTTTAATTTTTTTTTAAAGTTGTAGAGAATATTGAGCTATATTTGAATAACTAAAAATAAAAAGTTTTTAATAAAACTTTATTTGATTAAAAAAAAATTATTCCATTTTATACCTACGTACGGGGAAAATGAAATACGCAAACGTATGTGTAATTAAAACAATACTTTATTAAAAAAATGAAAAGCAATCAACAATAACAATTAAAAAAAACAATCAATAATAAAAATTAAAAAATCAATCAAATAAAATAAACTTTTTTACTCATGTGATGATGTTGAGTCGTTTAGAGGTGCTAGAGGTTGAGTTGAGTTTTTAGTTGTGCGGCACTTTTTGGTGCAATAAAGCTCAGCGCCTTTTACGTATCGCTTTGGTATACATGTTTGACATAGCCAAATCTTGCAATTTAACAAGAGAGCAACTAGCGTACTTCATTCATTTATTAGAATCATTTAATAAAAGCAGTCAGTAAAAGTCATTCATTTAAATTCAGATCAAAATTCGTTCATTGAAATTTATACAAAAATTTATAGCTGGAGATTTATTGTATACGTATTAGTGGTTGCATATATCTTCGCGAGAGTGCTCAATGAATTAAAGTAAATTAAAATGATTTAAATTAAAACAGAGCTGTATTTACATATATTATTTATAAATAAAACTGCATATTTTTTACAACTATAAGTTTCATGCTAAATGCAATCTCAAATAATCAAAATCAAAAAATGTAATCTCAAAATAAGTTTCATGCTAAATGCATTATAAACAACTGCTCTACGGTTGCTTAAACTTTACATAGACCTTACGAGGTTAGATGTTTTACAAGGTTAGGTACTGATATTGAGCTTACTCATTTTTAAAATCAAACTGTTTAACTTCAAACATTATAATAAAATAAACTCTACAAGCGAGAATTATAAGTGAGAAATGTTTAAGTATTTGATTTTTAAGTAACTATATATTTACAAAATAAAAAGTTGCGGTAATGGAGTCTGAAAAAAATTATTTTAATTCATTGGCAACTCCTTAACTTCATCAAATAATCTTTTCAAAACATGTAACTATTAAAATTTTATATCTATCATTTTTGAGTATTGAAAACGCGTACAATTTACGATATGTGTATACGACGAAACTAACTTAAGAACTGTTAACAAATATATATCTTGTCTAGCTTAAAAAGAACTGTGTTACCAGACACAACATTTTACTGTGTTGGCAGTTGTTTTTAGAGGAAACCTTTGATTGTCATTTTTTGCGTAGTTGTAATTATCGTTTTTTTTTCCAATGTGCTTAACACATTTACTTTTGCCTTAACTCATTAACCATAGATGTGGATAACACTGCATTTACTTTTGGTTCATATAATTGACTGCCTAATTACTAAACCAATTATGTTTAGCAGGTTAATTGGGTTATTATCTTTTTCTATAACAGATATATTTTTAGTATCTGCAAAGACTTTTGTGATTGAAGAGATACATTTGAGTCGTTGATATTTAACAAAAAGAAAAAAGGACTTGGTATCCTGTGATGCGCTACTATAAAATCACGCCAATTTATTACTTCCCCCATTGCTACTTTTTTTTTTTTTTTTTATTAACTTTTTTATTTAATTTTTATTTAATTTTATTAAATTAACTAAAAATTAAATTTAAAAATTGATAAAAAAAACAAAAAACTATAGATATCCCTTTACTTTCCATGTTAAAATTGTTATATATAAGTTGATGATGGGGTATCATATTGAATGCCTTTGCGGAACTTTATGAGTTGGATAAGGAACACCTTGATTTAGATTGATTTGTGTAGTTAGTGTTTATTATGAAATAGTTGGTTCTTCATCCCAAGATCTATAAACTGATGAAAGCTAATAGTAACAGGTTGTACCATTGTACTTTTCTTGTCATTTTTTATCTTGCAGTTAAACTTGATCAAAGTTTGAAAATGTTCTAGTAAAAACCCTTAAAAACACATTGCTGTCAAAAACAGGTTAAGGTTAACTGGGGATATGCAATAAATTTAAAAAGCGAGTTTGCTATTAATTTTGGTTAAAATTTGTAGAATAGATCTTTTAAGTAATCCATTCGTACCCCCCTATTCCCCATATCCTATACTTAATATTGCGTCGATAGTACAAAAAAATTTAATTAATAAAAAGTAATATCTACGAGTTTTTCATTATTTTGTTTTAAAAAAAAAATTAGTTTAAAAGTTCATTAACCCCGGATGAATCATCACGCTTGAATGAAAATTATAAATGACAATAACTGCACACTGTCGTAAACGTCATTTTTCTTCAGTAACCTATTCTTAACAACAATATCAAATAGTCATTTTGGTTATTGACATAAACCTTAAGTTAGGTCAACAAATGTTTTGTCATTCGTTATTATTGTGTTCAAGATGAATATATTAACAATCTGAGTGATATTTTTTAGAACTTGCAAAATGAAGAACGAGTGGCTACAAAGATTGCTTCAAACGTTTTTGTTTATTTTCATTTTAAAAGGTAATATTTTTTAAATGTTTTTAAAACGAAGTTTTTAAAGTTTGTATCCATATTTTAATGGTGTATTATGGTATATTAAGCCAAGACGTTTTATTTTAACAGCTTACTATATGTTGTTTTTTTAAATATTTTGCCAATGTACATATTTTAATTTATTATTACTCTACTTTATATAATAAAGTATGAAATAAAAATATATATAAATAAAAAATATCTAAAAATCCTTGTTACGTAAGTTGCCATTAAACAGGCTCCTTAAAAAAATCACACACTACGATTGCTTCAAAATCAATGATTTATTTCCGAGAGCAAAAGTAAACTTTGCTAAATATAATTGTAAAAAATTGTAGACAAAAAAAAAAAAACAGTTTAAAGAGTTGATTAATGAAATAGTTAATAAAACTCGCACAAAAAAATGCAGATCATTATTTAGTTATCAAAGTTCCGAAACGTAAACGTTTAAACGATGTAAAAATGACTAAATTTACGCGTAATATGCATTTTATACGTATAAATGAAAAGCAACATATTCTAGTCTTGAATAATGTCTAACAGAAATAGTTAATGTTTAACTGAAATGTTTAAAAGAAATGATAATGGTAATTTATTAACCAACAAATTATTTTGTTTTAAAACTTTGGTGAGCTTATAAAAAAACTTTTTTAATGATTCCGTTAAATATAACTAGATATAGATAAAGATTCACGTTTTTTTTTATATGTTTGGAATTTTATCATTAAATTAATTTTTTAAGTAAGAACAATTTCAAAAATTCAATTTTTAATTTTTTTTTAATATCAAAATAATTAGAATGACGAACTCTAAAACAAATAAGCTTTATAAATATTTAAGTATAATAGAATTGTTTACATCTAGATTACATTATTGTTTGTTTGTTATTGCTTATCTTGGTGCAAAGCTATGCTGACTAAACAGGAAATTAAATCAAATGACATTTGATTTACTGTCACGTATTAGTCGGTTAATATGAAAAATACTTGGAAAAATAAGAAAAAATTGTTAAATGTAATTTCAGATTTACTTTTTACTAATGTATGAATGAATCTTTACAAACCAAAGTTAAATAATTTTATCAACGCTAATGACTACAGTATGACTTGTAAATTCCAATAACTTTTGAAAACCGCCGACATGAAAGTAAAAATTTCTTAAATGTTAACAATAAAATTGTAATTTTAAATAATATTTCATTCTTTATTTTATTTTTAGTTTTAAGTTTTCATCTTTTTTTCACGTTTTAAGTTTAGTGTATAATTTTTTTTAGTTTGTTGGGCTATGGATTAGCTTCTGTTTTAAACTTTCCGTTGTTTTTTTGTTGTTGTTTTTTTTGTTTTTTTGTTACTGTTTTTAAAAACATGGAAGATGAGCCGTATTTATACTTTTCTCATTCATTAGTTGGTAGACTAAACATTATCTAGGCTCGTCAATTTATAAAAGCACCAGTTTATCAAGTAAACTAAATATAATTGATAAAACAACCAGTTCATCAAGTAGACTAAATATAGCTATAATTCAATATATAAACTAAATGTAAAAAACGGCAGTATAATATAAAAACGGACGCCCATCCTTTTTTACAACTTATAAGTTTTTAAAGAAACTCAGTCGCCTCTTAAAATTTTTAAATATTTTCACAAAAATAAAAATAAAGTTTAAACCCGATTTGTTTGACAGATTTTGTGAATGTCAATTGTATTGAATTGTATTGATTGTATAAAATTTGTGCTTTCAATATTTAAACTCTTCAGAAGAGACTTCAAGATTTAAACTCTTTAGAAGAGAAAACTCTTTAAAACTTCACCACCATTAATATGACCATTACTAGTCATGAATTTGACTAATTATAACATCAATATCATTATCAAAACAACTCATTAATAATTTGGTAAGTTTTTTTATGACTACACTACTTGGGGCGGACGGCGGATGTCCACTCAAATCTTACTCGATAGCAAAACAACTGATATAATATTAAAAACAAAATGAAGATCAAATAATAAAAATTTGCTAGAAAAGTAAATGTTTAATTTATTAGAAATTAAATGTTTAATTTTAAATGTTTAATTTATTAGAAAGTAAATGTTTAATTTTAAATGTTTAATTTATTAGAAAGTATGATTAAATAAAACTTATTGGACAGTATAATAAAACTTTCCTAATAACACTGATTTAATTATATCGTTGATTGAATCAAAAAGAAACAAAGAATTAAATTTTGTTGCTAAAATTATATAGATCCTATTGCAAAACTAAGCAGACAAGTGGTCTATATCTAATACCATTTCTTGACAAATTATAAACTATACTCGGCTATGAAAAAATTTAAGGAATTTCACTTAAGAAAGTTGCAACATACAAAACTAACAAAAGTTTTCTTTGTTTTTCAACATACAAAACTAACAAAAGTTTTCTTTGTTTTTGCAACATACAAAAATTTTCTTTGTTTTTGCAACTTACTAAAGTTTTCTTTGTTTTTGCCACAAACAAAAGTTTTCTTTGTTTTTGCAACATACTAAAGTTTTCTTTGTTTTTGCATCATACGAAAGTTTTCTTTGTTTGATAAGATTACTTAAAAAATTTAAAATTCAATTATTATTTAATTATTAACTAAGTTTCAAATTAAAAAACATAAATTTTAGAAATAAGATTCTATAAACTTTTTTGCAGTTAAATATACTATCTGATGACACTTGCTTTAAAATTCCTCCAGACTTTTTTTTGGTCTTAATTTTGTACTTTAAGACCTAAGTTTTAATACTGAGCCTTGAGAACCATGGTTTTTAAAAAAATAAAAATTTATAATTTGAGATATCCATAGACGTACTTGTATAGTTTTAGCGTATACATATAGCGTATACATATAGACCTAAAGTCAAAATCAAGTATCTCAAAAAGTTTAAGGTTTTAGGTGAAAAATTTGAACGAATGCTATAATTTAAAATCTTTGCCTCTGACCTCAATCTCATTAACACTATCCTTGAATTATTTGTAAGTATTTAATTTCGTTATCTTTATTTAGACCGCAATGTAAATTTTAATTAAACAATACCTAAAAGTTTCTTTCTAAAATGAAGGAAAATACTCATGTTATAATCACGTCTATAATACTCCGAGTTTTTTTGAGTTAATTAATTAGTACTTTTCAGTCTGTTTAATGTTTTTTTTTTCACCCCAATAGTTCCGTGTAAAATTGTATAAACTAACATCGCTCTCCTAAACATGATAACAATTTTAAAAATCTATTTTTCCGAAATATAACACATGCAAAATATTATAAGTTTTTTTTCTAAGTTATTGCACAAAGATTGTTTTTTTGTTGATTTTTGTGCAGAGTTTTTTTGTTGATTTCAAGTGCAGAACTTAATTTAGTTGGTGCACTTTTGTGCACCAACTAAATTAAGTTCTGCACTTGAACCATTTAAATTCAAAGTGCTGAACGAGCACTGCACAAACAACCGCAACAATTTGTTAACAGGCTGTAATCATTAACATGCTGTAACGGAGTGTACACATCGTGTAAGTAAGATTTAGACGTAGTTAATTTTACAACCAACATGTAGATGCATCTACTGAGGGTTTTGGTTTAGTCAGATACTCTTTTAATTAAAAAAACGTCTTTTCTAAAAAAAGAAAAAAAATGTTGCGCCACAAAATTTATACTTCCCTCCCCCTCATAACAAAATTGTCACAAAATCACAAAATCACAAAAATCACAAAATCACAAAAAAACAAATTGTCACAAAATCACCTCCCCCTCCCCCTAAGCGTGACGTAATTTATGGACGACCCCAAACCTCATAAGGGGCCATCCATAAGTTCGGGTTCTCAAAAGCGTACAAACGCGTACAAGGGGGGAGGGTGTGTTAAAGACAGTGAGTACGTATGCGGTTTGACTATCCTAAACATGATTTTATTTAAAAAAAAAAAAACATTAAATATCACATATGTAACAAATCAGAATTGCGTTTTTTTTTCTGACTTCAGTTACAACTTTATTTTTTAATTCTTGATAAATATTGAGAGAAAAAAAAAAATCGAGTTAATTTTGAAAAAAAAAAAAAAAAAATGAGTACATACGCGGAGGATTGGGGGAGGTCTTTGAAAGCGTACAGGTTCGTACAAGGGGAAGGGGGTCCTAAATAAGTGATTTTACTGCATACGTACTTTATGGATGCCCCCCAAAAAAATGCAATAACAAAAATGTTATTAATCCATGTCTGTTAGATACGAAACTGACATGAAATTGAGGAAATGATCAATAAAATATCGCAACCTAAATGTTTTATAAACGCCATTTAAAAACTTTTTTTGATCTTTTTTTCACTGATAAAAACCTGAATATTTTTTTTGAAAAGAAAACTGTTATCAGACATGGCTGTAATGGCGGTGAATTTTACAGATCCAACTCTACCAAAGTTTTGAGATATTTGGACGAAATGATACTTTATTCTCTAATTAAATATCTGGAACGTATTGAAACCATGAGGAAATTTAAGCAAGAATATTCATTTCTTTTAAAATTATTTTTAACATTAAATTGTTTTTAGAACGTTTTTAACCCAACCAGTACAGACAGGAAAGTATTGACGGGACTTCACCCAGCAAACATTGTTTTAGTAGATTTGCAGCGAACCTTTATAGGCAATTTTTAGCGGTTCGTTGGGGTTTTGCTAATCGGTTATTTAGTGGACCATTAGTGGTTATTGGAACATGGGGTTTTGCTCAACGGTTATTTAGTGAACCATTAGTGGTTAGTGGACCATCGGTTATTTAGTGGACCAGTCGCTATAAATGGCAGCCGATAAATATCCGACAACTCAATAGTGGCTGGCCATGAGCTAGCCACTTTTGGCGGTTACCACTAATGGCCAAAAGTAACCGATGAGCAAAACTACAGCGATCCGCTCAAAATACCTATATAGGACTGAAAACCCGCTATAGCGTATTTGCTGGGCAATTTACATTAGGTTAGCGGTCGTCCATAAATTATGTCATGCTCTAGGGGGAAGAGGGGGGAAGATGTTAGTGATTTTGTGACGACTAGTACGAAACTATTTAATAAGCTACAAAATTGTTAAAAAAAAAACTAATTAATACTCGTACGAAACTAATTAATTAAAAGTTACGATGTTGTGACGGGAGGGAGTTAAAGTAGTTGAAAATCAAGTCCCGCAGTTATGGTACCTAAATATGGAGTTAAACATTAGTAATATATAATATTTATTTATTAAACACTAGTAATATATAATATTAATTACTAAAACAGTGGCGGATTAAGACTTCTTGGGGCCCGGGGTTATTTCTGTTTTTGGAGGCTATAGCCTACCTAGCCCCCCCCCCCCCCCCTCTGAACCGGCATAATATTTATATCACGCTTAACGTTAGCGCAATTAAATTTTATATTTTAAATAAATCAAAATACATTTTGGCGCTCAAAAGATACGGCCATTTAAAGTTTAGAATAAATTTTTAATTTCAACGGTTTTTATATGATGACAAACCTACTATACTGAAAAGAGTGGATTAAAAAAATCTAAGCCTAAAATAATTTTAACTAAAAGCCTTTAAAGATAATCAGTATTTGTCATATATTATGACAAATACACTAATTTTTTTATGACAGTAATAATTTACAGCGGACTTATACACCTGTATTTTTCATAGGGTGTGGAACACTTCACTTAATTGAGGAAACATTGATGCAAAAGAATCTAATTTCCGAACAGCCTAAACCCTTATTTAATCTAAAATTTAATTTTCCCAAATCAATTATTTATATCAATCTTGAGCAAGCAATACCCACATTGCATTGACGGTCTGGAGCTTTGGAAAAACAATATTAGTGTTTTTGCTAAGTTTCTGATCTGCCTAGCTCTTGCATAGATACATTATTGTCAATAATTTATAAATCTAAAAGCTAGACAGATATGAAAAGAAAGCTTTAAAATTGCTTTTTAATTTCTCGTAATATTGTTAAAGCTAAAAAGATTCTTTAACGTTTATGATTTAAAATCGTTTATACCAGAAAAAATTAAATTTGTTATTTAAGCACAAAAAATAAACTTTTGTTATTTTCGAACATCTATCAAACAATCCTACAGTACAAAACTTTGTTGTAAGTGGTGTCCATTGAGTAAAACCTCAAAAAACAATAAAAACACTTTGAAATGTTCTATGAAAAGGTTGAGTATTAAAGAACAAAAAACATTAAACACTTTCAAAGAAACTCCTGAAGAAATACTCTGAAGTCAAACCACTTATAATCTTTTATTTTGAAAGTGTAAGTAGGTGTTTGAAGTTATAATAATACTTGTTATAATAATAATGTTTTATTACATATTATTTATTTAGTGTGGATTGGAATAAGATGCTCCCTTAAAAACAATATATATTTTTACAAAATCTTCTTTTTTTTTTTTAATTTTAACGATTTCTTATGAGCATAAACATTGACAAGTTAAAAAATTTTATTACTGATAAAATAAATAATTAAACTATGGGACATCTATAAGTCATTGGTGTAATAGTGACCAAATAAAAGTAACCTTTATTATCAGTTCTTAAAGAAAACTTACTTCAAATAACAATTATAAATTTAAATTGCCAAGTATCTCTGTATAATGTTTTAAAATTCTTTGAAAATTATGTGTAAACTCACATGATGGATTGTTTTAACTAATAATCTTACTGAGGCCATTACTTTATCTCTGAATAAAACTCTTACATTCAAAGCTATTTACAAATAGTTAATTAACTAGTAATACTATTTATATCTTTAGAATATCTTTAAATATAGTAATATCTTTAAGTTAAAGATTGTTTGCCAATTATATAGTTTTAATAGTTTAATCATCTTACCATAATATTTTCTAGCATATTGTTAAGAAATAATTTTAAAACATTTCTGGTTATCTAAACTTGTGTTCTTGATGTGGGTATGACCCACGTCAAGAACACAAGTTTAGATAGCAAGTTTTATTTTGTGTTTGTTCCTTTATATATATAATCTTATCTTCCTAATCTAATAAGAAAATATGTCACCCTTATCCGTTCTATCTTATAGCCATCAGCCACAACTATTTTCCCTGAAAATGGTTCCCTTCATGCTCTACAATTACAAAGTCATCCTTTTTTGGAGTAATTGTATCTAAATTTGAAGTATCTTTTGCTTAGCAAACATTCTTAGAGTTGTGTATTTATTTGTAGCTAATCAGAAGATTGCTTAGCTCTGTAGTCTGAATCTTCATACCGTTTCTGTTTCTTGATTTTTTGCCTACTTTTTTTTTTTTTTTTTCCCTTTCATTTTTTTTCATTTTCTCTTTTTTCCATTACAGCTGCTCTTTTTTGTAGTGTGAGAAATGAAAAATATGAAAAATGGTAATCTAACAAGTCATGACCATTTTTAAGTCATAAAACATGAAACATACATATAACAATGAGTTTAGATAAACAAAGGAGTTACTAAGTAATTTACCACTCTGGTCCATTATTTGGCAACCCTTATAACTGAGTACAGATGGACAGTAAACAGACAATAACTTTTAATTTAAATCAAACATATCTTTTTTAATATATAATCATCTAATATTAAAATATAAGCTACTTACCTTTTAAAACCTTATTTGTGGCGTAGCGAATTGTTGAAGAAATCTTAAAAAATTAGAAAAGATTGTAGCACATCAACATTGACTGTCAGCCATCTTTGTTTCCAAATCTTTACCATGTTTATGTGTACAGTTTATAGTAAAAGAGTAGCTTCCCCAAAAGAATCTATTTTTTTTTATTTGTAATCAATAATCTTTTTCATTTTCAACACAAAAATAGTTTTGAATTTTATTAGTGATATGCATCATTCTTCAACTTAACCATTTTATCAGTATTCCCTTACAAGTTTTTTAACTGTTCATCAAATAACTTCTTCAATTGTATAAGTTAATTATTTTTAATTTTAAAAATATAAAATAAAACAACAAAAACTAGTAAAAGTTTTTCTTGTAAAGTACTATAACAATATAAGTAACAGTCTTTTTTTTAAGTAGAAATTTTTTTGAGAATTGAGAAATTTTTTGAATTGAATTGAGAAAATTTTTTCTTCATGTTTTTCCTTAAAACTGACCCTAACTCTGATGATTAAGGTATTTAAAGAATTCAACAGAGGCCTGTTTGCACTCTGATAAACTTTTTATTTTTTAATAGCTTTTGGATTTTTTTCTTCATTTTCTTCAAATCATAAATTTTCTTCAAATCAGTGTGATAATTTTTTTTTAATCTTTATTTTTTTCAAATCAGTATAATCAATTTTTAAATTAATTAAAATAAATACTTAAGAAATACATACATACGTATGTCTATACATATATACAAATATCTATTTAGTATTAAAAAACATATTAGTTAAAAGTTTCAACATTTTTAAGGATTTAAATTTACTTTTTTATTTACAGTTAATTAAAATGTTTATTATAAAAATGATTTTATTAGTTGATTTTATTTCTAGGATTTTCTTTATCTAAAAAATGTAACTTTCCTGTTGACATTGTTTTTGTTTTGGATGGTTCAGAAAGGATTTCTTCAGAGTTTAGTAATCAAATAGGTTATGTAATAAGTATTATTGAAGCTGCTGGTGGAATATCAAAAACAGGCTTACATGCTAGCGTTGTGATTGTAGAAGCAAATCCAAAAATTCAAATTCCACTCAATGCCCATGATAATACTTTATCATTTGAAAATAATCTGTATAAGGTATGTTTGTAGAAGATATTTTGGTATTAGTAGTTATTCAATATTTTACCATATAATTGTACAAAATATTTGTGCAAATCATGATCATCCTCATGATCATTATCATATCATGATGATCATCATTATTGTCATCATCATAATCACCATTATTTTCATCATCATCATCATCATCATCATCATCATCATCATCATCATCATCATCATCATCATCATCATCATTAACATCATTTTCATCATGATAATTATGTTTTTGGTTTCTGTAAGTGACAACTCTTAATAACATTTTGAGCACTTACATTTTTACTAATCATTTTGCTTAGCAGTTAAGTGTTTAGGCCCTAATGATTTTAACTTATTATTTCTTCATTTTTAAATTAACTTTTTATAATTTAATATTTAAAATAAATTATAATAAATAATTAGGAAACAAATAAGAAACCTTTCTCTGAAGGTTTGCAAAATATTTTTCCAGTTATGGAAAAGTATTTTGCATCTAGTAAATACATCTGTGATTATTTACTGAAACCATACCAAACAACATCAATTAATCTGCATCATTACTTAAGCTTAATAACATCATACTGATTCCTTATCAATGATAAACTTCATAAAACATCATTTGACTGCACCATTGATTAACTTTATACCTAACAATACCGTTTAATCCGTACTGCTTTAACATTATGCTCTATCTTATGTTGTCATTATGTAATCTGCATTGTTGATGATCTTTAAGATGTTTTCAAGTTTTAAAAGTTTTTAATGTTTTGTTTATTAATATTTACAGCTAGAACATACCTATGAATCAAGTCGAATTGATGCTTCACTTCTTGAAGCAGAGAACTCATTTATTACAGGATCAAGGAAAGGAGCATTACCTGTGTTAATTCTGTTGACTGATGGTCATCATCATGATAGTTATACTTATCCAACAACTGTTATGAAAAGACTTATGTTGAAAGGTAGTATATTAGTGTAATAGGTATTTACTTATTAATGAAAAGTTTATGTGTTGGCAGAGTTGGCAATAAAAAACCCACCTGAAAAAACCTAATAAAACTTGCTTGAAAAACCCCAATAAATCCAGGCAATTTTTTTTTGTTTTTTTGACAGAGATTTTATCATTTTATGAACTATTATAACCAACATTTGTTTTGAAAGAGATTTTATTATTTTATGAAAAACCAACATTTCTAAAAACATAAGCATATTATAGTATCTAGCTATAAAACAAAAGTCTTAAATCAAACACAATGTTATATTTAATAAAAAAAATTTACACTATGATATTTTTAGAAACCAAATAGATTAAAAGATTCATTCAATAAAATTGAAAAATCCTGCAGGCAATTTTTTCTGAACAGATTTTTCTGGGTAATGATATACCCCCAATCACCGCACAATATTGTTGATATAATTTGACCAAATAACATCCTTGTAGGAATGTTAAGCGATCCAATTATATCGATGTTTAGCAAAATCAATTTAGGTACAAAATTAGGATAATGATTCTTCTGCTTCATTTTTAATTGTCAATTTTTTACCTATGAAACATAAATTAAAAAAAAAAAATTGCTGTGAAAACTAACAAAAAACTTATTTTTACCTAGCAAGGATTGGTTAAGTATGATAAGGGATATGAGTCATAGCGTAAGTACATCTCTTCTTGATAGCTGTGTGTTAATGATTTAGTTTAGGGTTTTTTCAAAAGTAAGAACTTATCACATTCTAATAAATGACATCAGTCACTTTGTATTTAGAAAATTGTTTATTTTTGTTTATTTAATTAACATTTATTATAAAATTTCCTGCCTAAAAAGTCTTGAATTGCAATAAAAACTTTAATTTAAAATAATTAAATACTTGATTGAAAAACCAAATATTTTGAGTTGGGTTTAAAGACTGTTAGCTTGATGTGTATTGCAAAAGGTAGGCTCTCTTGTCAAACCCTTATTCCAACGCTGTCCTTAAGGTGCGAAAATGTAAAAAAGCGACTTCTTCATTTAAAAGAGAACCTGCCTACCCCAAACCCTCAGTCGTTGTTTACACACTCCGCTGCATGTTCTCTCTAAAAATCAGTCGGTGTATGTGCACACCGCTGCGCAAATCCCTAATCCATTTTCCCTATTTCCTAGAAATACGAGTTCGTGGACACAAAGGAGGCTCAACATCCGAATAGGGGTTTGACAAGAGTGCGTTCCATTGCAAAAATATTTTTGCACTTCAATCAGGTGTTTGATAATATCTGGGTGTGATGGATGTGGTGTGTTATTTGTAAAAAGATTTAAATAGCGTTTTAAATAGCTGTTTAATGTTTTATAAACACCATATGTAGAATGATTTTGTTTCTTTGATCCCTCATTTTTTGAATCTTATTTTCATTATTTGTTGCCACGGTAAATACTTCTTTGTTGTATGTTTCTTTAAGATCTTTAATGACATTACAGAAAAGTTCTGTATAATACTTTTTTATTTGATGCACAATCAGTTATGCATAATGATTATAATTATGGTTTTCTCTTCTTGGATAAGTTAATCTATCATTTTACTTCATTTAAACCTTTTAGGTGGATTATATCCTGGTCTCAATATATTGATCATGTCTAAAAATTCTTGATTTTTGAAGTTTTAAATAATACATTACAATGAAGAAAAATTATACTATTTTTAAATCTGCTCCATATTTGCTTATATTGTATGATGATCTCAGCTGTTGGTTCTTACAAGGTGTTTACAAGGTGTTGCAAAAATTATAGAACTAACAGATAGCAAAGAACTTGTTCTAACTTGATATGATGGTCCAGCCGTTGGAGCAGATGTACTAATATTTAAATTGTTATCGGAAAATACATTATCACAATTTTTATTCAAATATTTTAACAGATTGCCACCTTCTGTATGTTTTGTAGTAAAAATTGTATGCTTGTGTAAAAACTAAAAAAAAAAAAAAAAAAATAATACTAATTTTCAATACTATCAATAAAAAAGAAAAAAATTAAATATAAAAGAAAAATAAAACCCCCTAAAAAACCAAAGTTACCTTTAAAAGCCTAAAAATATCCACAAAAAAATCCACTGGGCTAAGTTTTTTTAAAAACCTGGGTTTTTGCCAACCCTGTGTGCTGCTAACATACTAAACAATCATGCATTTCGTGAGCATATGCATAATTATCAACCAATAGAAAAATATCTTATGATGTTGATATATTTATATTATTTATTATATTTTTGTAAGTTTTCAATAAATCTAGAATGATGTTCTATCATTTTATTGTATTGAATGCATAATTAGATTTCGAAAATATATTTTTTAACTTACACTTATCACGAGTCTTTGTTAAAGGCTGAGATCTGATCAGCTTTTGCTTCAAGTTGAAGCTGAAGCTGATTGCTAAAATTAATTAACTGCAATTGTTAGATGTTTGGCTATGAAGGATATACACATTTCAAGCTCACAAACTCTACGAAATTTAAAATTTATTGATGAATATAAATCTAGTTGAAAATAATACAAAAGGTATTTCATTAATTTGTTGCTTTCACGATTAGGGCAGGGGGAAAGGTCAAAATTTTGGGGCTTTTTTGTTCCCAAGCTACAATCATCACAATTTTTTGAAAAGTATTCTCATTTGACATAAGTATAAACATATAAATGTTTGGAGTTTTCTCTATGTCTGGAAATTAGTTCAAAGACCAAAAATTGCTGGTTGTACCCCTGGACTTTAATCTTCGATTGTATTGTGCTGCAATAATTAGCTTCTCTATGAGTTATTGGTACGATGCGTTGTATCTATCCCTAAAATACTTAAATACCTAAAATAATAGGTGATGTATGTGTTGTGTTGTATAAGACCACTTGCTTTTAAAAGATTAAAAGATTAGTAATTAAAACAAAAATTAAGGTCAAATGATAACATTAAAACTTTTGAGTGTTTATTGGCTTTTTTTTCTGTTTAATAAAAACAAAATTTTGAAAAATCTATAAAATGTGTCATTACAAGATTTTTTTTAAAACGAATTGTGACAAAGAAAAAAAAAGGTAGCCTCATCAAATAAGGTTAATAATATGAAATGTTCTGGATATGAAATGCATATTCTGCTATTTTAATTGTAAAATGAATTTTGGTTTTAGGTATTATACCTTACATTGTTGTTGTTGGTACAGATTTTAACATGAATAACTTAGAAAACTTGATTGGTAAAGATTCTAACGATTTACAGAATAAAGAAGTACAACATATATTTCAACCACACGAACAAATTTCTTTTAATGCAGATATTTCACATAGTATTTGCAATAGTTTTATATGGAAAATGGGTGAGTTAGAGAAAAGTAACAATATTATAACTTTTTATATTATGGTATATGAAGTTTTATTTACACATTTAGTATATAACTTAGTTAATATATATATATATATATATATATATATATATATATATATATATATATATATATATATATATATATATATATATATATATATATATATATTTGCGTCACAGTAAGGAGGGAGGCATGAACTTCCTGGTTAAACGCACTTCCATGGTGCTCTGTGACAAGACCGTTAGGTCTTCTTGGGGCACCTAAATAACAAATGTATATATATATATATATATATATATATATATATATATATATATATATATATATATATATATATATATATATATATATATATATATATATATACATTATTATTATTAATTTGTACATTTAATTTATAAGTTTTTTTGATGCAAAAAGTTGTTTAAGAAAAAATAGCTTCTATAATTGCTAAAAAATCTTTTCACATAGCATAAATAAAATTAAATGAGGTTGTTTAAAAGATAAAGTATGCTGTGATTAAGTAATTAATAAAGTGTACCCTATACTGTACTGTGTGATTGTGTACTTGAAGTATATACTGTGTGATTACTCGGACTATTTAAGGGTTTTTTATTTCAAAAGTATTTATTTAAATAGTTTTTTATTTAAAAAAAGTTATTCGTTTTTAAATAAAAAATCATTTATTTGATAATTAGCCTTAGAGGAGGTTTCTTGACCAATTTATTTTGATAAATTGATTTATATTAATTTTATTTTTGAAATAAAAAATACAGAAAAAAAGAAAAAGTATTATTATATAATTCTTATTAAAGATCATATCAATTTTCTGATTCTTAAAATTTTTTATATAGGCGAAAAGCTATCTAAGTTTAAGATTGGGTTTGTGGTTGATCGAACTGCTGGTTTTAAAGATAGTGAAAAATATCTGGAAAACCAAGTTAATTTTGTAAAATATATTTATACTAAGTTTGCTTTTGAAAAGCAGGATTTGTTTTCATATGGTTTCTATGATGGTAATTCGAGGTTCAATAAATATTTTAGTGAATTTCAAAAAAATAGCTTTTTACAAATACATCATGATAACTTTAAAGAACTGCTTGGCTCAGTGCATAAATCATTTTTGGGTCAAACAAATGATGATCTCAAAAAGTAAGTTCTTTCATTGAAAGTTATAATTAGAATAAATAATTTTTTGTGGAAACAACAAAGTTTTTAATAATAATAATTTGAAATTAATAATAAATTAATGTAAAATTAATAATTTATAAATTAAATAAAATATTAAAATTAATAAAAATATTTGAACTATGAAAACCAGGCTTATTGAATGCTATCATACTATTTAATTTTATTTAATAAATTCTGTGTAAAGGTTGAGCTCCAATGACTATTTTTAGAATCTTGGTAATTTTTTGGGGGTCTTTGGATAAGGAAACCGTTAAGGACGAACTTGATGCTTTTAAATCTGCTGGTATTGTTGTTTTTATAATTACAACATTAGATGGTCCATCAAAAGAAGCAATGATTTTTAATGGGGGAAAACTTTTCAATCAAGTTAATGATGCTAACACTAGAATGGAAGTTGTTGGAAAGATATACGATGGCATTCGTAATTATTATTATTATTTTTTTTTTTAATCTTTTTTACAAGTAGTAAAAAATGAAAAAAATGTCTGAACTCTGGAGCAGTTTAATTGTTATAAATGTTTTTCGACAACAACATAATTTTCAAATATTTTGAATACAAATTTTAAATCTTGTAATTAATAACTTTCATATATATAAGTATGTTTATATGTAACAAATATAATTGTTTTAACAAATTTGGTTAAGTTATTTATATTTTTATTATTCAAAATCTTAAAATTTTTATTAATATTTTACTTTATAGTATATTTTTAAAAATCTTACTTTAGTTGCAAGAACAAACTTGTTTGATACAAATGAATGTAAATCAGTTATTGATCTGATGTTTCTTGTTGATACATCTGGAAGTATGTCAAAGCATTATATAGATTTATTAAAAGTTTTAAAAAGAATTGTAGCAGAGTTTCAAATTAGCCAACATGGAAGTCATGCAGCTGTTTTATCATTTAATAGCTATGGATCCAGTGTTATTAACTTTAATAAGTATTTCGATAATGGAATGTTCAATCAAGCATTAGATGAGATTCCTGGACCAAAAGGTCTGATAGACATGAATGCTGCACTTACTGAAGTTCTTAATAAACTAATCAAGTCAAATGAATCACGAAGCTTAGTGGCTAAAGTCTTATTTATTTTTACAGATGGTTTTCAAGTTGGAGGTAGTTTTGAAAAAATTGTTGATCAGATATCTAATTTAGGAGTTAAGGTATGCACTTTTTTTAAATTTAGTATAAAGCAATATATATATATATATATATATATATATATATATATATATATATATATATATATATATATATATATATACATATATACATACATATATACATATATACATATATACATATATACATATATATATACATATATATATATATATATATATATATATATATATATATATATATATATATATATTGTATGTTTATTTGTATATACTTTTTTTTATTTAAATTTCAAATTTAGACAATATATGTTTTTTCTTTGTATTTTAAACATTACCAAGAGGTATAAGTATTATTAAGTGTATTAAATAATAAATATATAAATATATAAAATAATTTTTTTTTATCAATAATCTTTAGTTATCTAAAACCTTAGCTATCATGGTTAACATATCGTTAACAAAACTTCAGCTATAGAGCCAATTTGTGATGTAGCATTTTTAAAGTTCTTGTTTGTTTTATTTACAAATTAAAGCGCCAATTAATAATGCAAAAACTTAAAATAATATATATTTTTTTCCATTATTTCAGAAAAAAAAAAGTTTTGGGGTATGAATCTAAAAATTAAAGTATTTTGTGTTCATCCTATTTCTTTACTTATATTTATATATACATAAGTCACATGATTTGCTGTAAAAATTTATTTTCACTATATTCAAATTCACATGATTTGTTGTAAAAATTTATTTTCTTTATATTTCAAGTCCCATAATTTTTTGTAACACTTATCAGTTGTAAAAATTAGCAAAATGATTTGAATTATTTTGTTTGCTTTTCAAAATTTAATAAAAAATTTATTTCAAGATTTTAAGTGTCATTGATTATTTTTTAACAAAATAAAATAAAATTTGTTAAAAGAAATAATAATACTTTTAGTATTATTAATCTTTTTATTAAATTTTTTCATAAACAGAATATATGTAAAAACTTTTTATAAATAGCATATATAGAAAAATATATGTAAAAACTTTTCATAAATAGCATATATAGAAAAATATATGTAAAAACTTTTTATAAATAACATATATAGAAAAATATATGTAAAAACTTTTTATAAATAGCATATATAGAAAAATATATGTAAAAACTTTTCATAAATAGCATATATAGAAAAATATATGTAAAAACTTTTCATAAATAGCATATATAGAAAAATATATGTAAAAACTTTTCATAAATAACATATATAGAAAAATATATGTAAAAACTTTCTATAAATAGCATATATAGAAAAATATATGTAAAAACTTTTCATAAATAGCATATATAGAAAAATATATGTAAAAACTTTTCATAAATAGCATATATAGAAAAATATATGTAAAAACTTTTTATAAATAACATATATAGAAAAATATATGTAAAAACTTTTTATAAATAGCATATATAGAAAAATATATGTAAAAACTTTTCATAAATAGCATATATAGAAAAATATATGTAAAAACTTTTCATAAATAGCATATATAGAAAAATATATGTAAAAACTTTTTATAAATGGCATATATAGAAAAATATATGTAAAAACTTTTCATAAATAGCATATATAGAAAAATAAATTGCACAGATTTTTAACTATAAAGAAAAAAAAATTATAATTGTCTTTTATTAATATATTTAACTAGATGTTTTAAAAGTGTGCACATTTATTTTATTAATGAAATTTCAAAATTGTTTAGAAAAATAAAGGAAAATATTTTTTTAATAATATTTTATGTACAACTGTATTTATTAAAGTATTTACAGTCAACTGATGTTATTTGTATCTATGTTCACAATCCTATTAATACTAGCAGTTTTGTAAATAGTTGCATATCAGCTTTGTAATTTGATTTTTTTATTTATAAATAGCTATTAAAATCTTTTTAGATATTTGTCATTGCGTATGATGGTGATATAAATTATGCTACTATTAATAAGCTTCTCCGTGAACCTAATAATTTTTTTCAAATTTCAAAAGATACAGAATTTTTAACAGAATCAATTGCAGAAAAAGCATGCAATCAAGCAGGTAACTCACTATATTTGTAATAATTTGATTAAACATTAGTTTAATATGGTAGTTCCAAGGTCTTGGTAGTTCCAAGGTCTTGGCATTTATGCATCATAAAATTGTAATATTAGTAAGTTATCCATTATAGGACATCAATTGCTCAATGCAACCTGAAAAATTAATTTTAACGAATTTGATATAAAGTAAATTTGACATAAATTATAGTGAGTTTTTTTATATTTTCATGTTTTTTACAAGTTTCCAAAAAATTTTTATAAGTTCAAAAAAAAATCAGGCAAAGCACATTTTATTTGTTATAAACAATAAATTTTAAACAAATTTTATAAAAATATAGCTATACTAAATAAATATATAATAATTTCAAAGAATATTAATAAAAAATTTATTAATGACTAAATTAATTGATGACAAAGGTGATTGATCGACAAAATTAATTGACAAAATAGTTTATTAATGAGAAAATGGAGCTGCATCAAGAATCAATGAACATCCCGCTCAATAAAAATCTTTTTTAATTTAATATTGCAATCTAATATTGCAACACTCTGTAACTTGACTAGCTACAATTTTTCTGAAGCACATCGCATTATAATTATCATAATATTGACTTATTTCACAGAATATTAAACTACTGCATTGCCAACAATTAAAATTATGGAATACTAAGTCAAGTTGTTGGTTTATGTTTAAATTTATAATGATTTTTGAAACTTAACAGGTATCAATATTTTTTGCTTTTTTTTTTTTTTTTAGCTTTATATTCTGATGGCTTTTCAAAGGCTTTTGATATATTTTTTATTTTTGATGGTTCACTTGGAACAGTACAAAAAGATTTAGCCATTATGTTTGTGAAGTTATTCAAAAGTGAAGTCAAGTTTGGTGCAATGGTATCACAAAATAGTTCTTATGTACCTTTTACATTTGCTGATACATTTACAAATAAAGAATATATTAATGCAATAAATGACATTGAATTGAGAGCTGGGAATAGTGATTTGTTGTTAGCTATGAGAGAATCAAGACTTAACTTTTTTAGGAAAGGATTTGGGGCAAGAGCAGATGTACCAAAAGTACTTATTATTTTTACAAATACAATAATGGATAATGATCAAGATATAACAAGTGAAACTATCGAATTTAAAAAAGTTGATATTTCTATATTAGTTTTAGGCCTTGGTCAAAACTTAGATTATAAGAAAATGCGTTTGTTAGGTGCAGATAATGTTTTTATTTTGTCTGATACTGATGAAAAATCAAAAGAGAATTTAGTTGAAAATCTTTCAAAAAAAGTTATGTATGGTTAGTAAATTATATTTAATTTTTTTAAATTTTAGTTTTATATATATATATATATATATATATATATATATATATATATATATATATTTAATTTTTTTAAATTTTAGTTTTATATATATATATATATATATATATATATATATATATATATATATATATATATATATATATATATATATATATATATATATATATAATTAATAACAATATTAATTTTTTATTGTTATTCTTGATGGTATTATTTATAGCTCCTTTATCAACAATTTTGTCCAAAACTTTATATGATACACAATGGATTGATGTGTTCGGAGAATTCAAAGAAAATTATGACAAAAGTTTTTCTGCTGTTATTCCAGATGTTCTTGAATCTGTGTGGCACTTTGGACCTGCTCGAATTTGGAAAAGACCTATTCATCGGTCTAAATATGGTAAACATATTTTTATTTTATGGATTTTTTCTATTGGTCAGTAAAATAACTTATACAAATTGATTTTTGTTTTTAGTGATCGAATCTAAAATTCAACCAACTGGAGAATTAGGATTTGGTTCTTGTGGTCATATTTTTAAGTACAAACTAGACAGTACTAGTAGCATTAAGTAAGTATAATGTCAATCATTTTCAAATAAATTTCGAATAAATTTCTTGCATATTGCTTCTAAAAATATAATTGTGTTTTATAAAAATCTAGCAAAAACCTGTTTAATTTTCAAAGTTTTTTAAAATATATTTAAAAACTTAAATTCTTAAAATTAAGATTATATGTATTTAATTAAGTTTACATGAAAACAATAAAGTTTATATAAAAACAATTAAGTTTATATGAAATTAATTAAGATTATATGAAAATAATTAAGATTATATGAAAATAATTAAGATTATATGAAAATAATTTGTTTATATGAAAATAATTAAGTTTATATGAAAATAATTAAGTTTGTTTAAAATAATTAAGTTTATTTGAAAATAATTAAGTTTATATGAAAATAATTGAGATTATATGAAAATAATTAAGTTTACATGAAAATAATTAAGATTATATGAAATTAATTAAGTTTATAAGAAAATAATTAAGTTTACATAAAAATAATTAAGATTATATGAAAATACTTAAGTTTATATGAAAACTGTTGAAAAAATTTCTGACTGATTTAAATTAGTAAAAAATGACACATTTTAATTATTTTAAGTTGAAAAAATATATAAATAAAAATGTTTTTAGACTTTTAATACCAAAGTGAATTTTAATGCCTAAAGTTTAGAGAATATTTGTCTTTGTAAAAATTCTAAACTTCTGAAATCAGAATATTTAACAATATTTTATAAATAATTATTTTTCAGATCAGTATCGAAATCATGGGGTTACTTTTTATGGGTGAATCAGTTCTTGTATATAAGCTCTGATGGCTCCGAGACAAGTCCAAGGTTGTTGTACAGCTATAAAAATGCAGAATGGTTACATTTGAGAACAGTTGTGGATAACTCAAAAGTTAAAATATATATAAATGATGTTTTTATTAAAGAAATTATCATGACTGGAGAAGGACATGATTCTCAGATAAACAATTATGTTGGTTTGTGGTGCCATAGAATGACAAACACTGTTGTTAAAGATTTTGTTGTTTCAAATTGTAAGTAAAATAAAAATTCTTCAATGTCAATGAAATACTTCAAATAGTTTAGTAGAAACTATTTTTAATGTTATAAATGAAGAAAAAGTTTTATTTTGTTTATTTATTTTTTTATCAGTGGTTGATCAATGTTCAATTCAAAATGGTGGATGTGACCACATTTGTAACTCCTCACCATATGAGTATTTATGCAGCTGCAAAGTTGGATATCGTTTAAATATTGATGAAAGATCATGTGTGAATAATGGTAAATATGATTAAATATTTACATGTTTTAATGACTTTTATAGATTATAAAAGTCATAAAAACATAAAATGAACATAAAATAGATTTTTTTCATGTTAAACTTAATGATAATAATGATGAAGATGAAAGTGAATATGACTATGATTCTTGATAATGATGATGATGATGGTGATAATGATGATGATGATGATGATGATGATGATGATGGTAATAATGACGGTGATAATGATAATGATGATGATGATGATGATAATGATGATGATGTCATCATCATCATAATGATGGTGATAATGATGATGATGATGATGATGATGATGATGATGATAATGATGATGATGATGATGATGATGATGATGATGATGATGATGATGATGATGATGATGATGATGATGATGATGATGATGATGATGATGATGATGATGATGATGATGATGATGATGATGATGATGATGATGATGATGATGATGATGATGATATTTATGCACTTTTTTATATACTTTTTGTATTTGATTTTTATAGTAAATGAAAGTTATTCTTCAATCACAACAGTTTCAAATATTTTGCAAAATCAAACAGTCAAATCAGACACTTTACAAACAACCCCTTATTCTCTAACTTCTGAGTCTATTACTAGAGATTCAAATCTTTTATCAGGTGATTCTGATTTACCTTTGATTAACAGCCATAACTCATTTACATCTGTTGTTACAACTTCATCAGATTTTACATTAAATAAAGAAGTTTTAGACTTCACTGATTCTGGTAAAATGTTTTTACATTTTTTAAACTTTTTAATTTTTTTCTTCTATATTTTATTGAAAATATTACTTTGTATATTTACTTTTAGTATCTTCTAAAATCTTTAATGTTGGTTTTCTATTTGATGATTCATCAAATGAAAATGATCAGATTCAAAAAGATTTGTGCAAAGAGATTATTGCTAAACTTTCAACAAATTTTTATCGTTATGGAATAATGATATCGTCCACTATAATGTCAGTGCCATTAAATATTTCAGATTCACAAAATAGTCAAACACTCAGTGAATTAATTGATAATTTAAATCTTCCAGAAACTGAAAGTCAAGTTGACCAAACAATGAAATTAGCTTCTCTATTATTTCCTTCAAAAGGTATTTCAAATACTTTAATTGTTTTTATGGATGATAAACAACAAAATGAAAAAGAAGGAGTAATTAAAGAATCTCAAACATTAAATGCTATGGCTATTGAGGTTGTCATTATTGGCATTGAAGCTGTCCCTGATAAAGATTCATTACATATAAAAATATCAACTGAGGAAGTTGTTACCAAATTAGCTATGAAAGTTAATGGTAATTTATATTTTAATAATATATAATGTTATTTGTTTTACTAACAACAATTCGTTCAAAACAATTCATTCAAAAGTTTTCATTATAATATTAAAATATTTAAATTGTATTAAAACTCTGATATATTTAGCAACAGATTGCTTATGTTATAAAGTGCTTTTATGTTTTCATGTCCAATGAAGACATATCCATCATTAAATCTATAATTTGTGTAACTCTTTCCTCTTACAAGTTAACAAAATAAAGAATGATAATTTTCAATATTGCATTTGGATGCAACATTGAAAATTAAAAAACTATTGACAGCTAATTTTTATGATTTTTAGCTTTTAAATTTTTATTCAGTTGTTTCAAATAAAACACTGTGAGACTTTTATTTGATAATAGTATTTTCAATAAAATTCTCAATTTTTTTTCTCCTCAAAGCTCTATCTCTACTATTTTATAGCAGTTTCAAAAATTAACAAGAAGTTATCTTTACAAATTATTTCAAATGAACAAAAAGTTATCTATTACTGATTATTTAAAATTAAGAAGAAGAAAAATGAGGTCGGCAATAAATTGCTGATCTCAAACTGTTAGAGGTTGGCATCAGGTCAGCAAAAAAAATTTGACGCAAAGAAAAATTGAAAAAAATTGACAAAATTTTAAAAATACTCATGGTTAAAGTGTTAGAGGTCAGCAATTTTTTGCAGAGATCTAACACTTTTAAGTCAGCAGTTAGGTCAGCATTGCCAAATATTGATCCTAGTTCTGAGGGCTGTAGAGACAGTGGGTTTCTATAGATCTGTATGAATTTATTCAACATTCAAAAAAAAAAAAACAATAAGTGTGTGAAAAACAATATGTGTGTGAAGAACAATAAGTGTGCGAAGAACAACAAGAAATGGATAACCTTGAAAAATTTTGAGTTTGTAAAAGAAACTTGAGAAAGCATTAAGCAAATTTTAGAGTTTGATTTGTCTTAAAAGTGTTGCTTTCACACATATAGTAAACACACCCTATTTCTAGGTCCTTGGTGTCAGGGAAAGTAAGGGCGTTTAAAATGGTTAGATTTAATTCCATTAATTATCAGAAAGCTCTCAGTATTTATTCAAATAAATTAAAACTCTTAGCAACAAAGTTATAAAGGTTGTGTAAGCCTTTCTCTCTGTTAGACCTTCTTGATGAAATATAAAATCTTATATTTTACCAATAATGGAGTTGCTCTTGGAATTACTAACAGGCTATTTGATCATTTAATAACCTTAGTCAAAGCAGCTCTTGTACTAATTGTGCATTCGCAGACCTCTGAAGCATGGAGAAGAATTTAATTGAAATCAATGTACACATCTTAAACAATGTTTACTTCTAGACCAATTGCTTGAAAAGCAAAATGTTGATTTAAAGGTTGGAAAGCTTATTGCATTTAATGCAGTCAGAAAGGTATGCTTCTGAAATCTTCTTTAGAGATTCTATATTTTATTTTGAGAGTGCATACAAAGTAGGTACCAGCAATTTTTGATATTAAGTTGCTTCAAGCTGGAGTAGAGAATTAATAAATACTCCTTAATTGGTGTCATTTAATTTTAGAAAGTTTATCAAATTATTATTATTAATTTTTTTTTGCCATTTTAAATTGTAGATTAAATTTTTAAAATCTTAAGTTAATTATTAGCTATTTTATTTTAAAAGTTTGGCTACAACATAAATAAACCACTTTAAAGACACCATTTTTTTTAGAATTACAAAGAAATTCATCATAAAAAAGCAACATAAATAAACCCCTTTAAAAACACCTTTTTTTTTTTGTAGAATAACAAAGAAATGGATCATTAAAAAAAAGTAAAATTAAACAAAACTAAAACATTCCAGTGTTTTATTGATTTTTTTGTATTAAGTCTTCAAGCTAAAAAAAATGAATGTTTTTTTTTTTCCCTAAATTAAAAACAAAATTAATTGAATTATTTTTTTGTTAGTTGCCTATCTAAACCCAAACAAGTTACAACATTTAAAACCATGTTTTTTTTTATGGTTTATTTACATAAGTTCATCATAATGGCATTAATGCAAAATTACTGAACTTTGAAAATTATAAAATTAGAAAATAAATTATTTACGTTTATATATAAAAATACACAGAAAAATGTCTCATAATAAGTTATATGTAAAAAAATTAAAGTTATATGTAAATAAAGTTAAATTAAAATAGAATCAGGAATACTTGCAACTTTCAAATTTTGTACATTATAATTTTATGGTCTAATTAAGGTACTCCTGCTTGAAACAATTGGTTTTTCTAAAAAATGTTGTTTAAATAATATTTAAATATTCTAATATTATTCTACTTAGATAACTTATCTAAAAAATATAAAAGCAATAAAGCCAAAAGAAATGCTCAAAAGAAACTGAGGTATAATTTAAAAGGTAAACAGGAGCATAAACAATTTGAAAGATATAGTAAAATAAAACAACCTCACTTAACACTTACATAGTATAGATATAATATATATTTTTGATAATCTCAGATTACAAATACTCTATATTTTTACATGAAAAATGCTTTTACTTTTTTTAAAATATATATATATATATATATATATATATATATATATATTTATATATATATATACATATATATATACACACTTCATGTAAGCGTGTATATGTTTATATAAATATTATTATCGGTTATTATAAAACACCCTTATTATAAAATTAAAATAATAAAACAAGTTATTATTCTTATGTATTATTTTTATTGTACGAAGAAAATTATATTATATAAATAATATTTATAAATATCTAAAACAATATATATAAATATATAAGGCAAAAATAAAAAATTAAACTACATATGAGCCATTTATTTTGAAAGTGAAATAAGTCACTTTTTCAAAGAAATCAAGTTGTTATCAATAAAAATGATTACAATGTCTTCATTTGTGAAGTAATTTGAACCAATCGTGTTAAGAAATAAATTTGAAATTGTTGCATTAACTTTGGTGAAATTTTCATAAATAAACAAATATCGCATTATAATCAATAATATCAATAACATAATTTTTTTTAAAGTTTACTTATGCCACTTTCAAAAAAAAAAAAAGACTAATATAATCCTAATAAGCTTTATATTGAAATTTTTGTTTAGCAAGTTCTCAGGTATCTGCTACTTCAATAGTTAATCCCACTTTTGCAATTATCACTGTTAAACCAAATTTATCATTAGACAACATTACAACTGCTGACTTAACTATAGAAAAATCCACAAAAGCACCTATACATTCAGATAGTAATAGTTTATTAAGCAGTAAATTGCTTTTAACTCATAGTACAGAAAATAAAATAAATATTCTTAGTTCAATGCCTGCTTTCAATGGTAAATCTTCAACTATGAACCCTACCACAAATATTGTTGATGTTACTAATCTAGAGCCAATTATCAGTGATTCCACCGATGCCTCTGTAGTTTCTGAAAATAACAAAATAATAAGCAGCCAATTGGATACTACACAAGCTACAGAAGGTGAAACAGATATTCATAGTTCAATCGTCTCAGGAAAAGAAGATATTGCTGAAACTACTCTATTGCCTGATTTAACTAGTGAATCTTCAACTTTTAACCCTACCACAAATATTGTTGATGTAACTAATGCAGAGCCAGTTATCAGTAAATCTACTGATGCCTCATTAAAACCTGGTAGTAACAGTTTATCAGGCAGTCAATTGCATACTACACAAGGTACAGTAGATAAAACAGATATTTATATTTCAAGTATCTCAGAAAAAGATAATATTGCTGAAACTACTTTGTTACCTGATTTCACTGGTGAATATTTATCTTTGAACCCTACAACAAATATTGTTGAAGTTACCAATACAAAGCCAATTATCAGTGATTCCACTGTTGCATCTATAGTTACTGAAAGTAACAAAATAATAAGCAGTCAATTGGATACTACACAAGCCACAGAAGGTGAAACAGATATTCATAGTTCAATCATCTCAGTAAAAAAAGATATTGCTAAAACTACTCTATTGCCTGATTTAACAAGTGAATCTTCAAATTTTAACCCTACCTCTAATATTGTTGATGTAACTAAGGCAGAGCCAATTATCAGTGATTCTACTGATGCCTCATTAAAGCCTGATAGTGACAGTTTATCAGGCAGTCAATTGCATACTACACAAGGTACAGAAGATAAAACAGATATTTATATTTCAAGTATCTCAGAAAAAGATAATATTGCTGAAACAACTTTGTTGCCTGATTTCACTGGTGAATCTTTATCTTTAAACCCTACAACAAATATTGTTGAAGGTACTGATGCAGAGCCAATTATCAGTGATTCCACTGTTGCATCTGTAGTTTCTGATAGTAACAAAATAATAAGCAGTCAATTGGATACTACACAAGCTACAGAAGGTGAAACAGATATTCATAGTTTAATCATCTCAGAAAAAGAAGGTATTGCTAAAACTACCCTATTTACTGATTTAACTAGTGAATCTTCAACTTTAAACCCTACCACAAATTTAGTTGATGTAACTAAGACAGAGCCAATTGTCAGTGATTCTACTGATGCCTCATTAAAGCCTGGTAGTGACAGTTTATCAGGCAGTCAATTGCATTCTACACAAGGTACAGAAGGTATAACAGATATTTATATTTCCATTATCTCAGAAAAAAATAATATTGCTGAAACTACTTTGTTGCCTGATTTCACTAGTAAGTCTTTATTATTAAACCCTACAACAACTATTGTTGAAGTTTCCAATACAAAGTTAATGATCAGTGATTCCACTGTTGCATCTGAAGTTTCTGATAGTAACATAATAATAAGCAGTCAATTGGATACTACACAAGCTACAGAAGGTGAAACAGATATTCATAGTTCAATCATCTCAGGAAAAAAAAATATTGCTGAAACTACTCTATTGCCTGATTTAACAAGTGAATCTTCAAATTTAAACCCTACCACTAATATTGTTAATGTAACTAAGGCAGAGCCAATTATCAGTGATTCTACTGATGCCTCATTAAAGCCTGATAGTGACAGTTTATCAGGCAGTCAATTGCATACTACACAAGGTACAGAAGATAAAACAGATATTTATATTTCAAGTATCTCAGAAAAAGATAATATTGCTGAAACAACTTTGTTGCCTGATTTCACTGGTGAATCTTTATCTTTAAACCCTACAACAAATATTGTTGAAGGTACTGATGCAGAGCCAATTATCAGTGATTCCACTGTTGCATCTGTAGTTTCTGATAGTAACAAAATAATAAGCAGTCAATTGGATACTACACAAGCTACAGAAGGTGAAACAGATATTCATAGTTTAATCATCTCAGAAAAAGAAGGTATTGCTAAAACTACCCTATTTACTGATTTAACTAGTGAATCTTCAACTTTAAACCCTACCACAAATTTAGTTGATGTAACTAAGACAGAGCCAATTGTCCGTGATTCTACTGATGCCTCATTAAAGCCTGGTAGTGACAGTTTATCAGGCAGTCAATTGCATTCTACACAAGGTACAGAAGGTATAACAGATATTTATATTTCCATTATCTCAGAAAAAAATAATATTGCTGAAACTACTTTGTTGCCTGATTTCACTAGTAAGTCTTTATTATTAAACCCTACAACAACTATTGTTGAAGTTTCCAATACAAAGTTAATGATCAGTGATTCCACTGTTGCATCTGAAGTTTCTGATAGTAACATAATAATAAGCAGTCAATTGGATACTACACAAGCTACAGAAGGTGAAACAGATATTCATAGTTCAATCATCTCAGGAAAAAAAAATATTGCTGAAACTACTCTATTGCCTGATTTAACAAGTGAATCTTCAAATTTAAACCCTACCACTAATATTGTTGATGTAACTAAGGCAGAGCCATTTATCAGTGATTCTACTGATGCCTCATTAAAGCCTGATAGTGACAGTTTATCAGGCAGTCATTTGCATACTACACAAGGTACAGAAGATAAAACAGATATTTATATTTCAAGTATCTCAGAAAAAGATAGTATTGCTGAAACAACTTTATTGCCTAATTTCACTGGTGAATCTTTATCTTTAAACCCTACAACAAATATTGTTGAAGGCACTGATGCAGAGCCAATTATCAGTGATTCCACTGTTGCATCTGTAGTTTCTGATAGTAACAAAATAATAAGCATTCAATTGGATACTACACAAGCTACAGAAGGTGAAACAGATATTCATAGTTCAATCATCTCAGAAAAAGAAGGTATTGCTAAAACTACTCTATTGCCTGATTTAACTAGTGAATCTTCAGTTTTAAACCCTACCACAAATTTAGTTGATGTAACTAAGACAGAGCCAATTATCAGTGATTCTACTGATGCCTCATTAAAGCCTGGTAGTGACAGTTTATCAGGCAGTCAATTGCATTCTACACAAGGTACAGAAGATAAAACAGATATTTATAATTCCATTATCTCAGAAAAAGATAATATTGCTGAAACTACTTTGTTGCCTGATTTCACTGGTGAGTCTTTATCATTAAACCCTACAACAACTATTGTTGAAGTTTCCAATACAAAGTTAATGATCAGTGATTCCACTGTTGCATCTGTAGTTTCTGATAGTAACAAAATAATAAGCAGTCAATTGGATACTACACAAGCTACAGAAGGTAAAACAGATATTCATAGTTCAATCATCTCAGGAAAAAAAGATATTGCTGAAACTACTCTATTGCCTGATTTAACAAGTGAATCTTCAAATTTAAACCCTACCACTAATATTGTTGATGTAACTAAGGCAGAGCCAATTATCAGTGATTCTACTGATGCTTCATTAAAGCCTGATAGTGACAGTTTATCAGGCAGTCATTTGCATACTACACAAGGTAAAGAAGATAAAACAGATATTTATATTTCAAGTATCTCAGAAAAAGATAATATTGCTGAAACAACTTTGTTGCCTGATTTCACTGATGAATCTTTATCTTTAAACCCTACAACAAATATTGTTGAAGGTACTGATGCAGAGCCAATTATCAGTAATTCCACTGTTGCATCTGTAGTTTCTGATAGTAACAAAATAATAAGCATTCAATTGGATACTACACAAGTTACAGAAGGTGAAACAGATATTCATAGTTCAATCATCTCAGAAAAAGAAGGTATTGCTAAAACTACTCTATTGCCTAATTTAACAAGTATATCTTCAACTTTAAACCCTACCACTAATATTGTTGATGTAACTAAGGCAGAGCCAATTATCAGTGATTCTACTGATGCCTCATTAAAGCCTGATAGTGACAGTTTATCAGGCAGTCAATTGCATTCTACACAAGGTACAGAAGATAAAACAGATATTTATATTTCCATTATCTCAGAAAAAGATAATATCGCTGAAACTACTTTGTTACCTGATTTCACTGGTGAATCGTTATCTTTGAACTCTAAAACAACTATTGTTGAAGTTACCAATACAAAGCCAATTATCAGTGATTCCACTGTTGCATCTGTAGTTACTGAAAGTAACAAAATAATAAGCAGTCAATTGGATACTACACAAGCTACAGAAGGTGAAACAGATATTCATAGTTTAATCATCTCAGGAAAAAAAGATATTGCTGAAACTACTCTATTGCCTGATTTAACAAGTGTATCTTCAAATTTAAACCCTACCACTAATATTGTTGATGTAACTAAGGCAGAGCCAATTATCAGTGATTCTACTGATGCTTCATTAAAGCCTGATAGTGACAGTTTATCAGGCAGTCATTTGCATACTACACAAGGTAAAGAAGATAAAACAGATATTTATATTTCAAGTATCTCAGAAAAAGATAATATTGCTGAAACAACTTTGTTGCCTGATTTCACTGATGAATCTTTATCTTTAAACTCTACAACAAATATTGTTGAAGGTACTGATGCAGAGCCAATTATCAGTAATTCCACTGTTGCATCTGTAGTTTCTGATAGTAACAAAATAATAAGCATTCAATTGGATACTACACAAGTTACAGAAGGTGAAACAGATATTCATAGTTCAATCATCTCAGAAAAAGAAGGTATTGCTAAAACTACTCTATTGCCTAATTTAACAAGTAAATCTTCAACTTTAAACCCTACCACTAATATTGTTGATGTAACTAAGGCAGAGCCAATTATCAGTGATTCTACTGATGCCTCATTAAAGCCTGATAGTGACAGTTTATCAGGCAGTCAATTGCATTCTACACAAGGTACAGAAGATAAAACAGATATTTATATTTCCATTATCTCAAAAAAAGATAATATCGCTGAAACTACTTTGTTACCTGATTTCACTGGTGAATCGTTATCTTTGAACTCTAAAACAACTATTGTTGAAGTTACCAATACAAAGCCAATTATCAGTGATTCCACTGTTGCATCTGTAGTTTCTGATAGTAACAAAATAATAAGCATTCAATTGGATACTACACAAGCTACAGAAGGTGAAACAGATATTCATAGTTCAATCATCTCAGAAAAAGAAGGTATTGCTAAAACTACTCTATTGCCTAATTTAACTAGTGAATCTTCAGTTTTAAACCCTACCACAAATTTAGTTGATGTAACTAAGACAGAGTTAATTATCAGTGATTCTACTGATGCCTCATTAAAGCCTGGTAGTGACAGTTTATCAGGCAGTCAGTTGCATTCTACACAAGGTACAGAAGATAAAACAGATATTCATATTTCCATTATCTCAGAAAAAGATAATATCGCTGAAACTACTTTGTTACCTGATTTCACTGGTGAATCGTTATCTTTGAACTCTAAAACAACTATTGTTGAAGTTACCAATACAAAGCCAATTATCAGTGATTCCACTGTTGCATCTGTAGTTACTGAAAGTAACAAAATAATAAGCAGTCAATTGGATACTACACAAGCCACAGAAGGTGAAACAGATATTCATAGTTCAATCATCTCAGGAAAAAAAGATATTGCTGAAACTACTCTATTGCCTGATTTAACAAGTGAATCTTCAAATTTAAACCCTACCACTAATATTGTTGATGTAACTAAGGCAGAGCCAATTATCAGTGATTCTACTGATGCCTCATTAAAGCCTGATAGTGACAGTTTATCAGGCAGTCAATTGCATACTACACAAGGTACAGAAGATAAAACAGATATTTATATTTCAAGTATCTCAGAAAAAGATAATATTGCTGAAACAACTTTGTTGCCTGATTTCACTGGTGAATCTTTATCTTTAAACCCTACAACAAATATTGTTGAAGGTACTGATGCAGAGCCAATTATCAGTGATTCCACTGTTGCATCTGTAGTTTCTGATAGTAACAAAATAATAAGCAGTCAATTGGATACTACACAAGCTACAGAAGGTGAAACAAATATTCATAGTTCAATCATCTCAGAAAAAGAAAGTATTGCTAAAACTACTTTATTGCCTGATTTAACTAGTGAATCTTCAGTTTTAAACCCTACCACAAATTTAGTTGATGTAACTAAGACAGAGCCAATTATCAGTGATTCTACTGATGCCTCATTAAAGCCTGGTAGTGACAGTTTATCAGGCAGTCAGTTGCATTCTACACAAGGTACAGAAGATAAAACAGATATTCATATTTCCATTATCTCAGAAAAAGATAATATCGCTGAAACTACTTTGTTACCTGATTTCACTGGTAAATCGTTATCTTTGAACTCTAAAACAACTATTGTTGAAGTTACCAATACAAAGCCAATTATCAGTGATTCCACTGTTGCATCTGTAGTTACTGAAAGTAACAAAATAATAAGCAGTCAATTGGATACTACACAAGCCACAGAAGGTGAAACAGATATTCATAGTTCAATCATCTCAGGAAAAAAAGATATTGCTGAAACTACTCTATTGCCTGATTTAACAAGTGAATCTTCAAATTTAAACCCTACCACTAATATTGTTGATGTAACTAAGGCAGAGCCAATTATCAGTGATTCTACTGATGCCTCATTAAAGCCTGATAGTGACAGTTTATCAGGCAGTCAATTGCATACTACACAAGGTACAGAAGATAAAACAGATATTTATATTTCAAGTATCTCAGAAAAAGATAATATTGCTGAAACAACTTTGTTGCCTGATTTCACTGGTGAATCTTTATCTTTAAACCCTACAACAAATATTGTTGAAGGTACTGATGCAGAGCCAATTATCAGTGATTCCACTGTTGCATCTGTAGTTTCTGATAGTAACAAAATAATAAGCAGTCAATTGGATACTACACAAGCTACAGAAGGTGAAACAAATATTCATAGTTCAATCATCTCAGAAAAAGAAAGTATTGCTAAAACTACTTTATTGCCTGATTTAACTAGTGAATCTTCAGTTTTAAACCCTACCACAAATTTAGTTGATGTAACTAAGACAGAGCCAATTATCAGTGATTCTACTGATGCCTCATTAAAGCCTGGTAGTGACAGTTTATCAGGCAGTCAGTTGCATTCTACACAAGGTACAGAAGATAAAACAGATATTTATATTTCCATTATCTCAGAAAAAGATAATATCGCTGAAACTACTTTGTTACCTGATTTCACTGGTGAATCGTTATCTTTGAACTCTAAAACAACTATTGTTGAAGTTACCAATACAAAGCCAATTAATAGTGATTCCACTGTTGCATCTGTAGTTACTGAAAGTAACAAAATAATAAGCAGTCAATTGGATACTACACAAGCCACAGAAGGTGAAACAGATATTCATAGTTCAATCATCTCAGGAAAAAAAGATATTGCTGAAACTACTCTATTGCCTGATTTAACAAGTGAATCTTCAAATTTAAACCCTACCACTAATATTGTTGATGTAACTAAGGCAGAGCCAATTATCAGTGATTCTACTGATGCCTCATTAAAGCCTGATAGTGACAGTTTATCAGGTAGTCAATTGCATTCTACACAAGGTACAGAAGATAAAACAGATATTTATATTTCAAGTATCTCAGAAAAAGATAATATTGCTGAAACAACTTTGTTGCCTGATTTCACTGGTGAATCTTTATCTTTAAACCCTACAACAAATATTGTTGAAGGTACTGATGCAGAGCCAATTATCAGTGATTCCACTGTTGCATCTGTAGTTTCTGATAGTAACAAAATAATAAGCATTCAATTGGATACTACACAAGCTACAGAAGGTGAAACAGATATTCATAGTTCAATCATCTCAGGAAAAGAAGGTATTGCTAAAACTACTCTATTGCCTGATTTAACTAGTGAATCTTCAGTTTTAAACCCTACCACAAATTTAGTTGATGTAACTAAGACAGAGCCAATTATCAGTGATTCTACTGATGCCTCATTAAAGCCTGGTAGTGACAGTTTATCAGGCAGTCAGTTGCATTCTACACAAGGTACAGAAGATAAAACAGATATTTATATTTCCATTATCTCAGAAAAAGATAATATCGCTGAAACTACTTTGTTACCTGATTTCACTGGTGAATCGTTATCTTTGAACTCTAAAACAACTATTGTTGAAGTTACCAATACAAAGCCAATTATCAGTGATTCCACTGTTGCATCTGTAGTTACTGAAAGTAACAAAATAATAAGCAGTCAATTGGATACTACACAAGCCACAGAAGGTGAAACAGATATTCATAGTTCAATCATCTCAGGAAAAAAAGATATTGCTGAAACTACTCTATTGCCTGATTTAACAAGTGAATCTTCAAATTTAAACCCTACCACTAATATTGTTGATGTAACTAAGGCAGAGCCAATTATCAGTGATTCTACTGATGCCTCATTAAAGCCTGATAGTGACAGTTTATCAGGCAGTCAATTGCATTCTACACAAGGTACAGAAGATAAAACAGATATTTATATTTCAAGTATCTCAGAAAAAGATAATATTGCTGAAACAACTTTGTTGCCTGATTTCACTGGTGAATCTTTATCTTTAAACCCTACAACAAATATTGTTGAAGGTACTGATGCAGAGCCAATTATCAGTGATTCCACTGTTGCATCTGTAGTTTCTGATAGTAACAAAATAATAAGCATTCAATTGGATACTACACAAGCTACAGAAGGTGAAACAGATATTCATAGTTCAATCATCTCAGAAAAAGAAGGTATTGCTAAAACTACTCTATTGCCTGATTTAACTAGTGAATCTTCAGTTTTAAACCCTACCACAAATTTAGTTGATGTAACTAAGACAGAGCCAATTATCAGTGATTCTACTGATGCCTCATTAAAGCCTGGTAGTGACAGTTTATCAGGCAGTCAATTGCATTCTACACAAGGTACAGAAGATAAAACAGATATTTATATTTCCATTATCTCAGAAAAAGATAATATCGCTGAAACTACTTTGTTACCTGATTTCACTGGTGAATCGTTATCTTTGAACTCTAAAACAACTATTGTTGAAGTTACCAATACAAAGCCAATTATCAGTGATTCCACTGTTGCATCTGTAGTTACTGAAAGTAACAAAATAATAAGCAGTCAATTGGATACTACACAAGCCACAGAAGGTGAAACAGATATTCATAGTTCAATCATCTCAGGAAAAAAAGATATTGCTGAAACTACTCTATTGCCTGATTTAACAAGTGAATCTTCAAATTTAAACCCTACCACTAATATTGTTGATGTAACTAAGGCAGAGCCAATTATCAGTGATTCTACTGATGCCTCATTAAAGCCTGATAGTGACAGTTTATCAGGCAGTCAATTGCATACTACACAAGGTACAGAAGATAAAACAGATATTTATATTTCAAGTATCTCAGAAAAAGATAATATTGCTGAAACAACTTTGTTGCCTGATTTCACTGGTGAATCTTTATCTTTAAACCCTACAACAAATATTGTTGAAGGTACTGATGCAGAGCCAATTATCAGTGATTCCACTGTTGCATCTGTAGTTTCTGATAGTAACAAAATAATAAGCAGTCAATTGGATACTACACAAGCTACAGAAGGTGAAACAGATATTCATAGTTCAATCATCTCAGAAAAAGAAGGTATTGCTAAAACTACTCTATTGCCTGATTTAACTAGTGAATCTTCAGTTTTAAACCCTACCACAAATTTAGTTGATGTAACTAAGACAGAGCCAATTATCAGTGATTCTACTGATGCCTCATTAAAGCCTGGTAGTGACAGTTTATCAGGCAGTCAGTTGCATTCTACACAAGGTACAGAAGATAAAACAGATATTTATATTTCCATTATCTCAGAAAAAGATAATATCGCTGAAACTACTTTGTTACCTGATTTCACTGGTGAATCGTTATCTTTGAACTCTAAAACAACTATTGTTGAAGTTACCAATACAAAGCCAATTATCAGTGATTCCACTGTTGCATCTGTAGTTTCTGATAGTAACAAAATAATAAGCATTCAATTGGATACTACACAAGCTACAGAAGGTGAAACAGATATTCATAGTTCAATCATCTCAGAAAAAGAAGGTATTGCTAAAACTACTCTATTGCCTAATTTAACTAGTGAATCTTCAGTTTTAAACCCTACCACAAATTTAGTTGATGTAACTAAGACAGAGTTAATTATCAGTGATTCTACTGATGCCTCATTAAAGCCTGGTAGTGACAGTTTATCAGGCAGTCAGTTGCATTCTACACAAGGTACAGAAGATAAAACAGATATTCATATTTCCATTATCTCAGAAAAAGATAATATCGCTGAAACTACTTTGTTACCTGATTTCACTGGTGAATCGTTATCTTTGAACTCTAAAACAACTATTGTTGAAGTTACCAATACAAAGCCAATTATCAGTGATTCCACTGTTGCATCTGTAGTTACTGAAAGTAACAAAATAATAAGCAGTCAATTGGATACTACACAAGCCACAGAAGGTGAAACAGATATTCATAGTTCAATCATCTCAGGAAAAAAAGATATTGCTGAAACTACTCTATTGCCTGATTTAACAAGTGAATCTTCAAATTTAAACCCTACCACTAATATTGTTGATGTAACTAAGGCAGAGCCAATTATCAGTGATTCTACTGATGCCTCATTAAAGCCTGATAGTGACAGTTTATCAGGCAGTCAATTGCATACTACACAAGGTACAGAAGATAAAACAGATATTTATATTTCAAGTATCTCAGAAAAAGATAATATTGCTGAAACAACTTTGTTGCCTGATTTCACTGGTGAATCTTTATCTTTAAACCCTACAACAAATATTGTTGAAGGTACTGATGCAGAGCCAATTATCAGTGATTCCACTGTTGCATCTGTAGTTTCTGATAGTAACAAAATAATAAGCAGTCAATTGGATACTACACAAGCTACAGAAGGTGAAACAAATATTCATAGTTCAATCATCTCAGAAAAAGAAAGTATTGCTAAAACTACTTTATTGCCTGATTTAACTAGTGAATCTTCAGTTTTAAACCCTACCACAAATTTAGTTGATGTAACTAAGACAGAGCCAATTATCAGTGATTCTACTGATGCCTCATTAAAGCCTGGTAGTGACAGTTTATCAGGCAGTCAGTTGCATTCTACACAAGGTACAGAAGATAAAACAGATATTCATATTTCCATTATCTCAGAAAAAGATAATATCGCTGAAACTACTTTGTTACCTGATTTCACTGGTAAATCGTTATCTTTGAACTCTAAAACAACTATTGTTGAAGTTACCAATACAAAGCCAATTATCAGTGATTCCACTGTTGCATCTGTAGTTACTGAAAGTAACAAAATAATAAGCAGTCAATTGGATACTACACAAGCCACAGAAGGTGAAACAGATATTCATAGTTCAATCATCTCAGGAAAAAAAGATATTGCTGAAACTACTCTATTGCCTGATTTAACAAGTGAATCTTCAAATTTAAACCCTACCACTAATATTGTTGATGTAACTAAGGCAGAGCCAATTATCAGTGATTCTACTGATGCCTCATTAAAGCCTGATAGTGACAGTTTATCAGGCAGTCAATTGCATACTACACAAGGTACAGAAGATAAAACAGATATTTATATTTCAAGTATCTCAGAAAAAGATAATATTGCTGAAACAACTTTGTTGCCTGATTTCACTGGTGAATCTTTATCTTTAAACCCTACAACAAATATTGTTGAAGGTACTGATGCAGAGCCAATTATCAGTGATTCCACTGTTGCATCTGTAGTTTCTGATAGTAACAAAATAATAAGCAGTCAATTGGATACTACACAAGCTACAGAAGGTGAAACAAATATTCATAGTTCAATCATCTCAGAAAAAGAAAGTATTGCTAAAACTACTTTATTGCCTGATTTAACTAGTGAATCTTCAGTTTTAAACCCTACCACAAATTTAGTTGATGTAACTAAGACAGAGCCAATTATCAGTGATTCTACTGATGCCTCATTAAAGCCTGGTAGTGACAGTTTATCAGGCAGTCAGTTGCATTCTACACAAGGTACAGAAGATAAAACAGATATTTATATTTCCATTATCTCAGAAAAAGATAATATCGCTGAAACTACTTTGTTACCTGATTTCACTGGTGAATCGTTATCTTTGAACTCTAAAACAACTATTGTTGAAGTTACCAATACAAAGCCAATTAATAGTGATTCCACTGTTGCATCTGTAGTTACTGAAAGTAACAAAATAATAAGCAGTCAATTGGATACTACACAAGCCACAGAAGGTGAAACAGATATTCATAGTTCAATCATCTCAGGAAAAAAAGATATTGCTGAAACTACTCTATTGCCTGATTTAACAAGTGAATCTTCAAATTTAAACCCTACCACTAATATTGTTGATGTAACTAAGGCAGAGCCAATTATCAGTGATTCTACTGATGCCTCATTAAAGCCTGATAGTGACAGTTTATCAGGTAGTCAATTGCATTCTACACAAGGTACAGAAGATAAAACAGATATTTATATTTCAAGTATCTCAGAAAAAGATAATATTGCTGAAACAACTTTGTTGCCTGATTTCACTGGTGAATCTTTATCTTTAAACCCTACAACAAATATTGTTGAAGGTACTGATGCAGAGCCAATTATCAGTGATTCCACTGTTGCATCTGTAGTTTCTGATAGTAACAAAATAATAAGCATTCAATTGGATACTACACAAGCTACAGAAGGTGAAACAGATATTCATAGTTCAATCATCTCAGGAAAAGAAGGTATTGCTAAAACTACTCTATTGCCTGATTTAACTAGTGAATTTTCAGTTTTAAACCCTACCACAAATTTAGTTGATGTAACTAAGACAGAGCCAATTATCAGTGATTCTACTGATGCCTCATTAAAGCCTGGTAGTGACAGTTTATCAGGCAGTCAGTTGCATTCTACACAAGGTACAGAAGATAAAACAGATATTTATATTTCCATTATCTCAGAAAAAGATAATATCGCTGAAACTACTTTGTTACCTGATTTCACTGGTGAATCGTTATCTTTGAACTCTAAAACAACTATTGTTGAAGTTACCAATACAAAGCCAATTATCAGTGATTCCACTGTTGCATCTGTAGTTACTGAAAGTAACAAAATAATAAGCAGTCAATTGGATACTACACAAGCCACAGAAGGTGAAACAGATATTCATAGTTCAATCATCTCAGGAAAAAAAGATATTGCTGAAACTACTCTATTGCCTGATTTAACAAGTGAATCTTCAAATTTAAACCCTACCACTAATATTGTTGATGTAACTAAGGCAGAGCCAATTATCAGTGATTCTACTGATGCCTCATTAAAGCCTGATAGTGACAGTTTATCAGGCAGTCAATTGCATTCTACACAAGGTACAGAAGATAAAACAGATATTTATATTTCAAGTATCTCAGAAAAAGATAATATTGCTGAAACAACTTTGTTGCCTGATTTCACTGGTGAATCTTTATCTTTAAACCCTACAACAAATATTGTTAAAGGTACTGATGCAGAGCCAATTATCAGTGATTCCACTGTTGCATCTGTAGTTTCTGATAGTAACAAAATAATAAGCATTCAATTGGATACTACACAAGCTACAGAAGGTGAAACAGATATTCATAGTTCAATCATCTCAGAAAAAGAAGGTATTGCTAAAACTACTCTATTGCCTGATTTAACTAGTGAATCTTCAGTTTTAAACCCTACCACAAATTTAGTTGATGTAACTAAGACAGAGCCAATTATCAGTGATTCTACTGATGCCTCATTAAAGCCTGGTAGTGACAGTTTATCAGGCAGTCAATTGCATTCTACACAAGGTACAGAAGATAAAACAGATATTTATATTTCCATTATCTCAGAAAAAGATAATATCGCTAAAACTACTTTGTTACCTGATTTCACTGGTGAATGGTTATCTTTGAACTCTAAAACAACTATTGTTGAAGTTACCAATACAAAGCCAATTATCAGTGATTCCACTGTTGCATCTGTAGTTACTGAAAGTAACAAAATAATAAGCAGTCAATTGGATACTACACAAGCCACAGAAGGTGAAACAGATATTCATAGTTCAATCATCTCAGGAAAAAAAGATATTGCTGAAACTACTCTATTGCCTGATTTAACAAGTGAATCTTCAAATTTAAACCCTACCACTAATATTGTTGATGTAACTAAGGCAGAGCCAATTATCAGTGATTCTACTGATGCCTCATTAAAGCCTGATAGTGACAGTTTATCAGGCAGTCAATTGCATACTACACAAGGTACAGAAGATAAAACAGATATTTATATTTCAAGTATCTCAGAAAAAGATAATATTGCTGAAACAACTTTGTTGCCTGATTTCACTGGTGAATCTTTATCTTTAAACCCTACAACAAATATTGTTGAAGGTACTGATGCAGAGCCAATTATCAGTGATTCCACTGTTGCATCTGTAGTTTCTGATAGTAACAAAATAATAAGCAGTCAATTGGATACTACACAAGCTACAGAAGGTGAAACAGATATTCATAGTTCAATCATCTCAGAAAAAGAAGGTATTGCTAAAACTACTCTATTGCCTGATTTAACTAGTGAATCTTCAGTTTTAAACCCTACCACAAATTTAGTTGATGTAACTAAGACAGAGCCAATTATCAGTGATTCTACTGATGCCTCATTAAAGCCTGGTAGTGACAGTTTATCAGGCAGTCAGTTGCATTCTACACAAGGTACAGAAGATAAAACAGATATTTATATTTCCATTATCTCAGAAAAAGATAATATCGCTAAAACTACTTTGTTACCTGATTTCACTGGTGAATCGTTATCTTTGAACTCTAAAACAACTATTGTTGAAGTTACCAATACAAAGCCAATTATCAGTGATTCCACTGTTGCATCTGTAGTTACTGAAAGTAACAAAATAATAAGCAGTCAATTGGATACTACACAAGCCACAGAAGGTGAAACAGATATTCATAGTTCAATCATCTCAGGAAAAAAAGATATTGCTGAAACTACTCTATTGCCTGATTTAACAAGTGAATCTTCAAATTTAAACCCTACCACTAATATTGTTGATGTAACTAAGGCAGAGCCAATTATCAGTGATTCTACTGATGCCTCATTAAAGCCTGATAGTGACAGTTTATCAGGCAGTCAATTGCATTCTACACAAGGTACAGAAGATAAAACAGATATTTATATTTCAAGTATCTCAGAAAAAGATAATATTGCTGAAACAACTTTGTTGCCTGATTTCACTGGTGAATCTTTATCTTTAAACCCTACAACAAATATTGTTGAAGGTACTGATGCAGAGCCAATTATCAGTGATTCCACTGTTGCATCTGTAGTTTCTGATAGTAACAAAATAATAAGCATTCAATTGGATACTACACAAGCTACAGAAGGTGAAACAGATATTCATAGTTCAATCATCTCAGAAAAAGAAGGTATTGCTAAAACTACTCTATTGCCTGATTTAACTAGTGAATCTTCAGTTTTAAACCCTACCACAAATTTAGTTGATGTAACTAAGACAGAGCCAATTATCAGTGATTCTACTGATGCCTCATTAAAGCCTGGTAGTGACAGTTTATCAGGCAGTCAATTGCATTCTACACAAGGTACAGAAGATAAAACAGATATTTATATTTCCATTATCTCAGAAAAAGATAATATCGCTAAAACTACTTTGTTACCTGATTTCACTGGTGAATCGTTATCTTTGAACTCTAAAACAACTATTGTTGAAGTTACCAATACAAAGCCAATTATCAGTGATTCCACTGTTGCATCTGTAGTTACTGAAAGTAACAAAATAATAAGCAGTCAATTGGATACTACACAAGCCACAGAAGGTGAAACAGATATTCATAGTTCAATCATCTCAGGAAAAAAAGATATTGCTGAAACTACTCTATTGCCTGATTTAACAAGTGAATCTTCAAATTTAAACCCTACCACTAATATTGTTGATGTAACTAAGGCAGAGCCAATTATCAGTGATTCTACTGATGCCTCATTAAAGCCTGATAGTGACAGTTTATCAGGCAGTCAATTGCATACTACACAAGGTACAGAAGATAAAACAGATATTTATATTTCAAGTATCTCAGAAAAAGATAATATTGCTGAAACAACTTTGTTGCCTGATTTCACTGGTGAATCTTTATCTTTAAACCCTACAACAAATATTGTTGAAGGTACTGATGCAGAGCCAATTATCAGTGATTCCACTGTTGCATCTGTAGTTTCTGATAGTAACAAAATAATAAGCAGTCAATTGGATACTACACAAGCTACAGAAGGTGAAACAGATATTCATAGTTCAATCATCTCAGAAAAAGAAGGTATTGCTAAAACTACTCTATTGCCTGATTTAACTAGTGAATCTTCAGTTTTAAACCCTACCACAAATTTAGTTGATGTAACTAAGACAGAGCCAATTATCAGTGATTCTACTGATGCCTCATTAAAGCCTGGTAGTGACAGTTTATCAGGCAGTCAGTTGCATTCTACACAAGGTACAGAAGATAAAACAGATATTTATATTTCCATTATCTCAGAAAAAGATAATATCGCTGAAACTACTTTGTTACCTGATTTCACTGGTGAATCGTTATCTTTGAACTCTAAAACAACTATTGTTGAAGTTACCAATACAAAGCCAATTATCAGTGATTCCACTGTTGCATCTGTAGTTACTGAAAGTAACAAAATAATAAGCAGTCAATTGGATACTACACAAGCCACAGAAGGTGAAACAGATATTCATAGTTCAATCATCTCAGGAAAAAAAGATATTGCTGAAACTACTCTATTGCCTGATTTAACAAGTGAATCTTCAAATTTAAACCCTACCACTAATATTGTTGATGTAACTAAGGCAGAGCCAATTATCAGTGATTCTACTGATGCCTCATTAAAGCCTGATAGTGACAGTTTATCAGGCAGTCAATTGCATTCTACACAAGGTACAGAAGATAAAACAGATATTTATATTTCAAGTATCTCAGAAAAAGATAATATTGCTGAAACAACTTTGTTGCCTGATTTCACTGGTGATTCTTTATCTTTAAACCCTACAACAAATATTGTTGAAGGTACTGATGCAGAGCCAATTATCAGTGATTCCACTGTTGCATCTGTAGTTTCTGATAGTAACAAAATAATAAGCATTCAATTGGATACTACACAAGCTACAGAAGGTGAAACAGATATTCATAGTTCAATCATCTCAGAAAAAGAAGGTATTGCTAAAACTACTCTATTGCCTGATTTTTCTAGTGAATCTTCAACTTTAAACCCTACCACAAATTTAGTTGATGTAACTAAGACAGAGCCAATTATCAATGATTCTACTGATGCCTCATTAAAGCCTGGTAGTGACAGTTTATCAGGCAGTCAATTGCATTCTACACAAGGTACAGAAGATAAAACAGATATTTATATTTCCATTATCTCAGAAAAAGATAATATTGCTGAAACTACTTTGTTGCCTGATTTCACTGGTGATTCTATCTCTTTGAACCCTACAACAATTATTGTTGAAGGTACTGATGCAGAGCCAATTATTAGTGATTCCACTGTTGCATCTGTAGTTTCTGATAGTAACAATATAATAAGCAGTCAATTGGATACTACACAAGCTACAGAAGGTGAAACAGATATTTATAGTTCAATCATCTCACGAAAAAAAGATATTGCTGAAACTACTCTATTGCCTGATTTAACTAGTGGATCTTCAACTTTAAACCCTACCACTAATATTGTTGATGTAACTAAGGCAGAGCCACAAGTCAGTGATTCCTCTGATACGTCTGTAGTATATGGTACTGACAGTTTTTCTGGCAGTCAATTTCATACTACCCATGGTACAGTAGATAAAACAGATGGTCTTAATATAAATATGTCAGAAAAAGAAGATATTGCTGTAACTTCCTTGTTGCCTGATTTTACTGGAGAATCTTCAACTTTGAAGCTAACTACTAGTTTTCTTGATACTACTAATGCAGAGCCAATTATCAGTTTTTCTACTGATGCTGCTTTAGAGTCTGATAGTAACAGTTTTTCAGGCAGTCAAAAGCATACTACACAAGGTACTACAGATATTAAAACAGATATTCTTAGCTCAATCATCTTAGGAAATGAAGATATTGTTGAAACTTCTCTGTTGCCTGTTTTTTCTGGGTTGTCTTCATCTTCTAATCCTACGTCTAATATTGTTGATATGACTAATGCTGACATTATTTCTTCTGCTTCACCTGGTCTCTCATTAGCTTCTGTTCAAATTAGTCAGCTAAGCACTCAACCTCTTTCCACTCAAGGTATCTTTTTTTTATATATATGTTGCAGATTATAATACAATTCAATTTTTTTTAATCTTTTTTTGGTTATTGTTGTTGCTTTGGAGTTTTTTTTTTTTTTTTAGATTTATGGTCATCGGTAGTCAATATTAAAACTCCTGAAGTTTCTTTACGTACCTGTAATGTGACTATTAAATGCAACTCCCATAGTATGCATGTTAGCATTAGAGATATTGAACTTGATTCTGCCTCTCTTAGTTCCCTCTCATTAAATTCAACTGATCCTAAATGTCATCCTTTTTTTAATGGATCTCATTATGTTTTTGTTGTACCACTATTCGATTGTGGAACAATTCGAAGATATATAAACTTTGCTGTTGTTTATTCAAATGTTGTATGTATATTTTTGTTTTCCAAATGTTATAATTGTAATATTAGTTAAGTTTGTATATTTAGTATTTTAATATAGTTTTTTTTACTTTAATATTATGTTTTTAATTTTCTTATAAACCATGCACTCTAAAAAAAGGAAGAGCAGAATTTTCTATCTTAGGATAGGTTATGCAATATACCCTTAGTATAGTATAACTTTCCACCTGTTAAAGTAGGTAATTATATTTGAAATAATCATTTATTATACGGTTTTTTACTATAAAGATAGAAAGTTATTCCTTGCTAAGTGTATATCACAAATCCTACCCTAAAAAAGAAATTAATTTTTTTTTAAAGTGTATGATATTATAATATTAGTATTTATTTCCAAAACATAGATTACAGACAGTATCATAAGTGGAAATTTAATTTCACGATCGAAAAAAAATATTCCATTTTCTTGTGTATATCCTACTGAATCAAGAGTTTCACCAGTTAGTTTTCAAGTAAATGATATTGCATCACAGCTTATTGGTGAGCAGCTCGGATTTGGAAAATTTGAGATAAATATTAATATTTACCATGATTCCTCCTTCTCCCATCTTCTTCAAACAAACGATTACCCAATGGAGATTGATGACAGACTTTACTTTGAAGTAAAACTAGAGTCAAATGACAATCTACTCATATTATCTGTAGAAAATTGTTTTATTACTCCATCCTCTGATAAAAATGATTCAAGAAAACATTTTTTATTAAAAGATGGGTATGTATATATATATATATCAGTAGCGTAGCGACAAAAAATTGCCCCCCTTCCCCCCGCGCAAAAATTTAATCCGGGCCCCTAAATTACTTCTTTTCTATTCCCTTACCCCCCCCCCCCCACCTTGCCTTTACCTTCCTGTGTAAAATATATGTTTTGTATGTATGTTAAATGATACGCATGTTATTTATTGTACTGACACTTTTTTTTTAATTTTTTCTTTGTTGCCTTGGGCCCCTAATAACTCTGGGCCTCCCCGCGGCTGTGAGCCCTGCGGGCCCTTCGCTACGCTACTGATATATATATATATATATATATATATATATATATATATATATATATATATATATATATATATATATATATATATATATGTATATATATATAGTTTTGTTTTTAAAATGCATTTAGTTTCTTATAAAATAACAAGCTAAAATAAAAAATTTAAAATAAAAGTTTACTTTAAATGTTTTTCTCTAAGTATTTTATATATTACATTATTTTATAGATTACATTATTTAGTTTTATTTAAGAATTTTTATTTCTACTAAGGTGTAAAGAGGATGAAACATTGGTTAAACATTCATCACCTCCAGGGTCTCAGAGAATGAGCTATGAATCTTTTTCTTTTGTTGGTGTTGAAAGTTCTTTAACATATCTCCACTGCGATGTATTTGTATGTGACTCACGTGTTTCAGATACTCATTGTTCAAAAGATAAATGCATTCGCGGGCGAAAACGTAGACATTTAAACAATATAAATAACTTGGAATCTTTTAATACTTTCCAAGTTAAAAGTGGTCCAATATTTGTTGATAATAGACATTCTGTTTATAAGGCTGAATTGAATGAATCAATAAAGGAAAGTAAAGCTCTAAGATCTTATTATAATATGCAGAAACATTCTTCCAATCTCATAGGTAAGTTATACTTTATTTATTTTTTTAAAATATATTTATATTTTTGTTGTAAATATTAATGTTAAAATATTTTGTTTTTTTAAATATATAAGAAAGGCAACAAAAATAGAATGATGTTTTTATACTGATTTATGTATAATAGCGTGAACAACCATTTAATAAATAACCTTTAGTTTATTTATGTATTGGTTGATTTTAAAGTTTTACACCATAAAACTTGATTACCCAATGCACTCAAGCAATGTTTGCTGGGTTTTGTATCAAAAAACTTAATTAGCTACTTTTATTTTATTATTTAAAATGAGTTTTATTGCTTTGTTTAGTTTCATATTAACTTTAATCATAGTGTGTTAATAACTTTAATCCTTGTATGTTTATAAGTTTAATTCTTGTATGTTTAAGTATGTTAATAACTTTAATCTGCATGTGAATAAATTTTAACCTGCATACCAGTGCAGGGAAGGTTTTATGGTTTATTTTGATTCCAGGTTTTTTGGTTTTTGAGTTTAGTAATTTCTTAGTTCTAAACATTTGTATATACATGCTTATGCAGTACTTAATGTTCTTCAGGTCAGCTTTTTGAAAAAGTTGCTGTCAGTCAGTTAATAGTTTTTACAATTAACATATTTCTGGAAATCATTAATCGCATGATAAATTATTTGATTATTGGGAAAAAAGGTTTGCGCAAAGATCTTATTTGTTCTTTGCAATCAATCAAAACATAAAATGCCTATAAAGATACTATCTTAGATGTTATACTTAATTCAGGGGATTGAAATAAGTGCTGGGCATCAGCACTAGATTGTTTTTTATACCTGTCTGAGGGTCTCTCCTCTAGCGGGTCTTAAGAATTGCCCAAGGGGAGGCAACGTCGATTATCTATTTTAATTCCTGAGTTAATAAAATGTAAATTTTATTGAATTAAATACAAATTTTCTTTTTAAATTTAAATAATATATTTAGATGAAATTTCATGTATTTATACAACATGTCAATTATACGGTAACCTTTTTTTATCTATAACTAATATCAAGGGATTAGTTAAAACACAACGAGCAAAACAAAAAAAAATTAAATGCTCTGAGAAAGTCAAGGTTAATCATTTTTAGTAAAAGGCTTCTTGACACCGATGAACCATCACCAATGACTAGTAGCACCGGTGTTGATTCACTGTAAGAAAAAGAAATGTAAATGATCTAACAAATCTATACAAAAAATGTATATAAGAAAGATGAAAGAAAGAAAAGTCCAGTTGCAAATGGTATTAGTTTTTACATCAAACTGTTAATTTAAATTAGACAATCACCAAATGCAAAACATTATCTTAACAGAACTTGCTAAATTTTTCTTATTAGCCAGTGGCATGGTACGCAATGAATGGTTATTTTTATAAGTATGTATAATTTATAAGAAATTGGCAATTATTTGCTATCATCAAACGATAAAAATGTTTTATCGTAACTTACCTCCTATAGATTTTAAGCATCAAGTATGCCAATTATTATTTAAAATAAAAATTAAAAAAAATATTTATATAAAATTCGTTTTTTTGTTTCCGTTACAATCTTGTATTCGAAATTATCCTTTAGATTTATTCTTTTATTTATAAAAATAAATTTATTTATTTTTATACCTATAATAGGATAATTTTGATAAAGTTCCAGTCTTTAGCGGCTCCATTTTTAGTGGCTTTTAGAGACATCTGGCTCAAATTCTAAAAGCGATTAAAATTGTTTTTAGACAGTATAATTTATGTTAAAACTTTTCTTCAGTTTCGTTACCGATATCTTATTTTTAATTTAATTTAAATTTAACCTCGGGACGTTTTTTTTTATAAATTTATGTTGTTATTTTTTGCAGTTGAGTTTGTAAATGTTTTTTTTTTTAGTTTTAATCAGCTTGGTGGTTGCCGTTTGTGTATTGACACTTCCGTTCGTTATTTTAAATCGCCGTTTTAACAATAAATATGACGCTGGTTTATTACCATAAAATGTACTTTTTTGATAAAAATTTCTATTAAAAAAGAGAAACGATTAATGATGAAAAAGAAAAAGAATAACGGAATAATAAAAATTGAAAAATATCTCATGACATTACTGACGACGCTTATCATAGCATCATTATCATAAAGGTTTATCATTACATCATTATAGAACTAGTTTACGAATAATAAGCTGATTGAACAGTAGAAATAATTTATTGCTACCGATCATAAAGTAAAAAATATTACATAATTTATAGATGAAAATTGTATAAAAATTTTAGATTTGTTACCAAAACGGTTTATATGAGTTTGTAATTTTTCTAAAGTGACATAAAATTATAAATAGTTGTTCCAATGGATTCAAAGATAACGTTAAATTAAGAGGAGGAAGATACTCTAGGAATAAAATAGAAGGAATTGATACTTTAAGTTAAGTTGCTAAGGGATGTTGGATACTTTAAGAAGAAGAAAAGAGTTTGATAATTTAGATCTTTTATATAAAAATATTTTATATTGATTTTTTGTATGCGTGTTCTTATATGTTGATAAACTTATATACTAAATTAAAATGATAAAATAAACTAAACTGTTAATTAGTTTACTTTTCCGCCGTGGAAAATAAATTTGGTTTTGCAGATTTAAGATCAATATAGATCTAAAGTGATTGTCGCAACAAAAGCCAAAATTATAAAGGAATTTTCGGATAACTAAACTAGGAGTTTTACTCAAATCCACTTGAAAGTTCCCGCTGAAAAACTTCAAAACTTTGGTACAAACTTTGAACCTTTTTTTTCACAACAATCATTGTATATAATTTTAAAAATAAAATTTTTATGCCTGCAATTTATTTCTTTTTATAAAGTTACACAAAAAAGTTATTAACCACACAAAATACATCAAAAAAAGTAAAAAATACTGTTATGCGCATGCATGCTCAAAATTTAAATGTTTGTGGTTAATTATATAATGTAATGTCTGTTGAACAATGCATTTAAAAATATGTACAGGACCGTCTTAAACGGGGGGTTTAAGGGGTGCCCCCTCTCCTCTTTCCCTCAGTTAGCTGTCATATAAGCATTTGAGTTAGCACATGGAGCAAGATTTGAACTATAGTTGGCAAATTGCACATATTGAGGCCCTTTTTTTATTTTTATTTTAAATGTCTCTAGTTGGCAAATATACATACAACGCCTAACCTCCCCTCCACCACCACCACCACCACCATGGAAGACCTCTTCGGGACGGCCCTGTATATGTAAGACCGTCGCACCCTTGGAGAACTAGGGGTATACTCGTGGTGTTGTTAAAAAGTATATATAAAGAAAGCATATATAGGGACAGTAGAGGGGAGACAACAGTTTTATTTGCCGTATTAGATAACATTTTTATAATTTTTTCAAAATTATAAAAATGTTATCTAATACGGCAACAAATCCCGTGCGTTGGTAAAACGATTTACGTTTTTTCGCTACTGTCAAAAAAAGAGTGTCTTTTGTTATCTGAGAAGTTGAGCATAAAATTGTTTGTTGTGATAAAAATATTTTATTTACATTATATTTTTTCAGGACCTTTTTTCGTGGATTAACCAATACTTTTTTTTAGTATTATATTTATGTGTTATCAGCGCTATTTTATCAAGTGAAAACCATTTGTGATATCAACATAACCTAATAAACAAAAAATGAAATTGCTTTTTTTTTAACTGTTCTCAAGGGCCACAACCTCATAAACTCAGCACACTCGATAACAATGCCGAAACAAAAAAACAGCTATACTCATCAGCTCACCATATAAAGTTGATCTGATATATATAACATATGGTTATTAAAGATGGATATATACCATATATATGGATATATACGGTATGGTATATATGATTATATACCATATGGTTATAAAAGCTAAAAAAAAATACCAAAACAGTTGGTAAGACTAAAGAAACAAAAAATTTTGACAAATATAGAGAAAATGCACAATGCAAAGTGTATCCCCAACAATTTTTGTGAGGGGACGTTGTGCCTCACAATAGGTGCGCAACCGTTTTTACCTAAATGTAATTTTTGTTTAGTAACATTTTCAAAAAACATTTTATTTTTTTCTTAATTGTAACAGTTCAATACCTAATGATGTAATAATGTGGTTATTCAAATAAACTGTCAAAAAAAAAACACTTGTCGTTTTTACTTCTATATAACAATAAATCAAACATTAAGATATGCATGCCTCACTTCCCTTGTAATAAATTATAGTAATATAAAAAGTGTGTATATATATATATATATATATATATATATATATATATATATATATATATATATATATATATATATATATATATATATATATATATATATATATATATATATATATATATATATTTAGACAATATTAAAATGTATTGTACAAAATAGAATGCTTAATGTTCTTAAAAATGTTCTTGAGAAAAGTTCGAGCTTATATTTGAGCATGAATAAAATATTTTAGTTTTTAGTTTATTAGTTTATTTCGCCGTTAAAAATATTAACAAAGTACAACAGTATAAAAAGTACAATTGGCTGGAGCAAGAAGAAGGCATAAAATAGCCTTATCACCGAGCCCCAATAGTAACGCAAATAAATATCCGTAATACACAATAATCCGTAATATATAAGCAAAAGTATTTAAAAAAAGACAATTTAAAATCTTAAGAAACAAAGTTAAAAAGAAAAAAAAGAAAAAAAAAATTAAAATAATTGAAGATAAATAAAAAAAAATAAAAAGAAATGATTAAAATATAGTAATAAAAATGACAAAAATTTTTTGTTTTTGGTTATAAATTGGATGTGATTCGACATATATATTTGTATATATTATTTTCTTTCAAAATAATTCAAAATTCAAATAAAAAATTCTGTTCCAATATTATAAAATATATCAAGAAAATTGTAGGTAACTTTAAGAGAATATATATATTCAATGAAAGTATGATAAAGACATTGAAATTCTTAAACGGTCTAGATTTTTAAATTTATGGTGCTAATTTAGTTTTAATAGATGTTAATTTCATTGATTTTAAATCATTTAAATTCTTAAGTAAAGTATGAGTATTTTAATTTATGTTATATATATTTTATTTATATTTTGATTTACGCATAAGTATTTTATTTTATATCATCATAAATTAATCTTGTTGTATGTTTCTGATGTATATATAGAGAATTTAGTTTAAATTTTATTTATATTTCCCCATGTAATATTAGCGCAGCGTAATATTAGCGCAGTAACGGAACTTTAACTTTTGGGCCACCCGCAAAATATTTTTTAGACCCCCACCACAAAGAGGTGTTTTTTTACATTTTTATAATTACTGTTTTTGATCAGTTTGTTGCTGTTTTATATATTTTTTTTTTTTATGTTGATTTAGGTGCCCCAAGAAGTCCTTACGGTCTTATCACAAGCACCGCGGAAGAGCATTTAATAGGAAGTTCACGCCTCCTTCCAAACCGATGTCGCAAAACTTGTCCAGAGGTGGGGTTTGAACCAGGGATCTTACGTTTACTTCTTCAAAAAATATTTTTTGGTCATCTTTAAATCTATAACAGAATTTTATCAGATACAGAGTTTATCATTTATCATATTTTATGGTCAGATATTACTTAAATACAGGACTGAAATTTTTTAAATTGATAATAATTTTTAAACGCTACAGTTCCTACAAAAAAAAAGGGCCTCCTACAGCTATGGACCCCCGCATTGCGGGGTTTTGCGGTTTGGTAGTTCCGCTACTGAGCGTATGTTATATAACTTGGAATATAAGAAAAATAGAAAAACTTTACATTCTCTTGGGAAAGTAAATGTTCAACTTTGTAAAGTAGGCCAATACCCTTTTAATTTTTTTATTTTTTATTTATTGTACATATATTTGTTTTCCATATAAACTTTTTTAAACAATTATCCTATGAAATTTGATTGTTTCAGTTCTTTTAATGTTTATATTATCAATATTTAGCGTGTTTGTTATATTATTTTTTAGCTGGTTGGAATCAACAAGATGTATCTTGTTTTATTCCAAGATGTATCTTATTTTTTCTGTATTTAAAGATAATTTATTTATTTTAGATGTTTAGGGTACAAGGTTATTTTTCACAGGATTTAAAGAGGTCTTTGATTGATGCTGATAAGTAAAACAAGTTTGTGTTATCAGCAAAACATTATTGCATCGAGTTTTTTTAGGGATTGAAGAAGATTGCTAATATAAATTAAAAATAAAAGAAGACCAAGAATGGAATCTTGGAGAACTCCTCATTTTATTTTTAGCAAATTTGAATATTTATTATCGTTTGAAATAACACATCGTTGTCTATTGCATAATTAATTTTTAAACCAATCAAAGGTTAGCATTTTAGTTTAATCAAAAAATAACTTTTAAATCAACTTTTAAATTTAAAAGTTTGCATTTTTTTAGTGTAAGTATAAGCTTAGTACAAGAATTCAATAAAAAATAATTTAATTAAAAAAAAACCTAAAAATAATAATTAATAATAAAAAAAATTAACACCTATTGATTAATTCGCCCTGCATTTATAAAAACAAAACAATTTATAAAACCCTGAAAAAGTAACTAAAACACATACTATCAGATAAACATTAATTAATTTTAAAAAGAATTAAAATGAATATTTTTAATTGGTTGTAATAAATTTAAATGAAAATAAATTAATTTAAAAATTTTTAAAAACAAACCAGATAAAAGTTAAGTAATGTCAATAGTTTCTACCATACAAAGTACTTACGGTAGAAATAACTCCTCCAACTCGATACTTTTTGCATATAAATAACAATGATATATTATATACAATATATGTTTAACTTCGATCCGAAAAGTGAAGCCACTTTTACCCTAATTAGAAATGGCTTCCAGAACATTAACTGTATAATATTTGCCCTTATTACAATTGGCGGATAAAATTTGTAAACAAAAAATACCGGTTTTACTTTTCGTCCAATAAAATCCCACAAGTTAGTCGTCTAGAGCAGGGATGGCCAAATGGCGGCTCGCGAACCGCATACGGCTTTTTTCCAAATTGTTATCTGCTGTTATATTTCCATATAATTATTTCCATGGTTCTTATTTTTATAAAACTTGCAAAAATGGATAAAGTAAAAGTAAACACTAGTTTGCTTGGCAAAATAAGAAAGAAAAGAAAAATTAAAGACGAAAACAGAATATTTCATAATGATTGGACAGAAAAATATGCATTTATCGAAAGAAACAATAAACCTATGTGTTTAATTTGCAATAAAGAACTTGCTCGTAACAAGACATGCAATGTAAAACGTCATTATGAAACAAAACATAAATAATTTTCTGAAGAATATCCGTTAAAGGGACTACCAAGTCCCGAGACATGTTGTGTTCATATCAAAGAGAATGTTAAAAAAAACGTCTGAGCAAATTTTTTTTGATTAAAACTAATTAATAAATGTATACAAAAAAAGACAAATCTTGTTGTTTTAGTCGAAGTTCGTCTTCTCCATTTTCTGCGGTATTTTGAGTATGTAAAGAAAACGCGATTTTCCAGGCGCATTATACAGACTTGATAATTTATTCAAGTGCGTTTAATTCATAGGAATTTTAGTGCATGACGTCATAGATTTTTTTTGAAAACACCGATTGTTATTTTTTACATACAATTTCCAAATCATATTCATTTTTATTATATTTTGAAGTTCTAAAATGTGTTTGTAAAAAAATTAAAAACAAAATAGTATTTTATTTGCGCAACTTTTTTTAAATAGTCGTCTAGACCACGTGTATTTTGATTTCTTTTGTTAAAAGTTTTTTTTACAAAATATTAGATAAAATAATTTTTAACCTAAATAATAATGCACTTTTATTAATTTACTACTTATTAAAAAAAAATTATTAACGCATTTTTTCGCTGATTTTTCAAAAATGTATTTTTTGGTATTGAGGTGATTATTTATATTTCCATTATTATAACATCCAATATATATTATGGCAGGGACTTGAAAATTAAAAAATTAATATATTTTAATTTTTATTTTACAGACATACATGGAAACATAATTAACTTGAATGTTTTTAAAACAACTTGCGGAAGAATAAAAAGAATATTCGCGAACACTAAAAACCCGCCAAATTTGCGAACAAACTAATTCTATTAGTTCAAAAATGCAAAATAAAGTTCTTGAGTATTTTGTTGAAATGTTTTAGGAATTGTATTATTTACGATTTGTTACGTTTTGAGATATCTAGCATAAATTTTCTTTAGAATTTATTATCAAATGAACTATTACTTTAATATTATGGCTCATTCTCTGAGCCACATCTGTAAAGCCGTAAAACTATAATCGTTTGTTTACAAAAATAAATGTTTTATAATATATATTTTTTAAATTGTCAAAATTTTAAAAGTTAATTACAAATTATATATTTTATTGGTATATTCTTAATTTTTATATCTTTTCTTAGTGCTTGGTTTAATTAATTGTTCGTTAGATTTGTAAAAAACTAACGAACAATTAATAAAATAAACTTTTAATAAAATAAGTAACTATAGCAGCCGTGGCGCAGTGGTTCAAACCTTTAGGCAAGTTTTGCGACATCGGTTGGAAAGGAGGGGTGAACTTCCTATTAAATGCTATTCCGCGGTGCTCTGTGATAAGACCGTAAGAACTTCTTGGAGCACCTTAGTCAACTTAAAAAAAAAAAAAAAAAAAACTATAGTTAGCTATTTTAGTAAAATTTAATAGTAAAATTTTTAAAGAATTTCTAGAATATGTCCAATGACGTCATGCACTCAAACTCCTATGAATTAAACGCGCTTGAATGAATTATCAAGTCTGTATAAATGCGCCTGGAAAATCGCGTTTATTCTACATACTCAAAATACCGCAGAAAATGGAGAAGACGAGCTTCGACTAAAACAACAAGATTTATTTTTCTTGGTATACATTTTTTAATTAGTTTTAATCAAAAAAAATTTGCTCAGACGTTTTTTTTTTAACATTCTCTTTGATATGAACACATGATGGAGAATTTGTAAAGCAAAACATTTCAGATGTCCTGTCGGTTTTAGATCCTAGCAATAGCAAAATCCAAAGATTAGTATCACAAATTCCTATTTCTCGACATACAACCAAAAGAAGAATATCTAAGATTAGTATTGATGTTGAACAACAGTTACTAAACGATTTAAAAAATGTGAAGTATTTAGTAGCTGTCGATAAATATTCAAGTCATTATGTGACTTCAGACGTAATTTTAAAATAAGAATTACTAGATTTGGTTGAGTTGAAAGACACAACTCGTGGAGTTTATATCAAGGAAGCCCTTTACAAAGCTCTGGTTAAAGCTAATGTACCTATCAACAAGCTTGTTAGTGTTGCTACAGATGGTGCATCAGCAATGACTGGAAAAAATTTAGAACTTATAGGCTTATTAAAAAGTGACCCTAAGTATCCAGAATTTATCCCAATTCATTGTTTTGTTCATTGAGAACATTTAGCTGCAAAACATTTTAACTTTCCGATTGTTTTTAAATCTGTTTTAAAAATTGAAAATTATATTCGAGCAAATGCAAAAAATCACAGACAGCTTAGAAACTTTATAAATGAATTGGATCTTGCTGACAAGCTAAGTGACGTGTCATTTTTCTGTTCTATAAGATGTCAGATTTCAAGTAGTGATGTTTTTTATAGATTTATAGAAGTATTAGAGCCAGTTAAATGTTTTTTGATTGAAAAAGAAAAGACGTTTGAAATCCTCGACGATATAAGTTTTGTGCAAGACTTTTTGTTTTTGACTGATATAATGCAACATTTAAAAAGTCTGAATTTGTTTCTTCAGGGAAAAGAAAAAAATATATCTGATCTTGCACAAACGATATTTGGTTTTCAAAAAAAATTATTCTTTTTCAGAAAGATCTTAGCTTGAAAAAATTTATTGATTTTCCTCAAATAAGTATGATTACTTCTAATCCTTCAATTCAGTATGATGATGATAAGATTAAATCATACTTGGACAAACTAAAGGATTTACAAAAAGACTTTCAAAAAAGGTTTAAAGGTTTGCATAAACTAAGATTTTCTTTAAGATTTATAGTAAATTCTTTTTTAATTGATATTATTAGTAATGGCTGTCCAATACCTGAAAAAATGCTTGAAGATATATCTTAATTTGAAATGGAACTATTAGATCTCCTAGAAGATCAAAATCTTCTTATGCTGCATAAAATGTTTTTATGGAGTTTTGGAAGATATTTCCCGAGGTTAGGTATCCTCAACTAAAAAAGATTGCCATAAAATTCATTTCAATTTTTGGTTCAACGTATACATGTGAATCTTTATTTTCGACTATGAAATTTGTTAAATCAAAGTATCGAGCAAATCTAACCAGCGAGCATTTGTCTGAGTTACTTAGAACAGCCACTACAAGCTTGAAACCAATTTTAAAAAACTTACCAGTAAAGTTATGAGTATTAGTTTGATCAAAGTAAAAAACTGATTAAATGATGAAAAAGTTATTTCTTGTTTGTAAAAATCAAGTAATCTAATTTTAGTGTTGTTATTTAATTATTATTTCGTTGATATAAGCATTGTTATAATTTTTTTAATTAAAAAAAAGTTTATGATCAGCATGTGCTTGTGCAAAAATAATATTCATAAAAAAAGATCAGTGTGTTGCACAGCACATGGCCAGTGGGTTACACAACACCTAATCATGTGCTGTGCAAAATCAGTGTGATCATGTGATTGTCGAAAAATATAGAAAAGGGAATGTCTTTTTGTATTTTCTAAAAATTTTTCTTCGAAAAATGATTTTAAATAGTGTATTACAATTGCTGTTTTTATATGAAACCAAGAAAATGGGCAAGTACTAGAAGTTTCTTATTTTTTGGGTAGTTTTTTTCTATTTATCTAGTATAAAAGTCTCTTAAAATTCAGATTATCAAAAGAAAGAGTATAAAAGTTTTTTATATAAAAAAACGAACATGAAGTTGTTGCGGCTCTTCGGCTCACGTAAGTATATAAATGCGGCTCTTGTAACAAAACGTCTGGCCAGCGCTGATATAGATGGTAGGCTCTCTTGTCAAACCGTTATTCCGACGCTGTCCTTAAGGTCCGAAAATGTAAAAAAACGACTTCTTCATTTAAAAGAGAGCCTGCCTACCCCAAACCCTGAGTTGTTGTTTGAACACTCCGCTGCATGTTCTCTCTAAAATAAGTTGGTGTATGTACACACCGCTGCGCAAATCCCTATGTGCCCCATTTTGCCTATTTTCTAGAAACACAAGCTCGCGGACGCAAAGGACGCTCAACGTCGGAATAGGGGTTTGACAAGAGAGCCTACCAATATAGACGGTTAGCAGATAAAAGTATCACTCAAAAGGCGATCAAACTGCTAATTTAATATAATTTATGCGTAAATTAATTGTTTGAGAAAAAAACAAAATGGAGCGCAATAAGAAAGTTGCGTTTATTTTGAAGTCAATTTATTTTAGCGCTATATAAGAAAAATTCACTTTGTTTACAAGAAATATTATAAAATAATAAATATAAATAATTAAAATTTAATTATTATTATATTTAATTATTAAACTGTTTCTTATTTAAAACAGGATCTTTTTAGAGCTTTTGAACATTAATAAAATGCAAAAGAAAAAATGATTTTAATTTTTTTTGTTATGAATTTTTTACATCTTATATAATTATCTATATTGAAGTTATATAAATACTATATAATACTACTAGTTATATAAATAGTTATTAAATAATCACTTTTTATAAATATTAATAGTTACATAAATGTTTATTAAATAATATTTTTAAAGTATGAAGTAATAAGTACAATTACCTTTTCTTTTTCACATTCTTATTTTATATTTCTGAAAAGCGAAGGTCAAAGTGTTATGCATTTGGTTATATTTTAACAAAGCTTATTTAAGCTTTCTTCTCGAAGAAAAAATTAATAAAGTATTAAACTGTTGTTGTTGAATTATATTCAACTTTCGTTTCAACGCGGACAAAAAAAAGGATAAATTAAATACATCTACAAATATGGAGTCAGTATAATGATTTGTTTGTATTATTAAAAAATAATTTTTTAAATTAGGATTTTTACGAAACTAAATAATAACTAAAATAATAAAAACGTTTTATAACATAGAGCTGCATTTTGAACATGACCATTCTGCACATTTGTCTTCTTAAAAAATAATCAGGGATAAGTTTACAAGCGCGATGATACCAATTTTCACATATTCCGTATTGCACTATATGTCTAAATATAAGCCCCAGTTAGACAAAAAGAAATTAGTACACAGAATACAATGCAATGAGTTATATTTGCATATCTTTAAAACAACTATCCGAAGCTAACCAGACTTGTCTACAAATGCAGTACAAGGAAAAGTAGAATTCTTTTTCTTTGCAGAATCGCATAGCTGTTTCGAAACTAAGTAAACTGATTGCCTTTCACACATTTTAGCAAATGATTTCTCAATTTAAAAAGCGTCAAAAGCAACATAACTTGGATTTTTCCAGTATCTGTAATATGTTTTATAAAGGCATACAAACCACAATCAACATAATTTGTTTGTTGTTGCACCGGTACAACGCATTGCACTGAAAATACATTAACGACAGTTAATGTATTTTCAGTGCAATGCATAATAGCACAAATTTGCCTAACAACATGGTTTTTTACTTTTCCACAAAAAAACTGTCTAAAAGAAAAACCTCACCAACAGAACATCCAAAAGTACTTATAGCCAACCAATGGGCATCGCCATCATGCAACACCTGAACAAAAGATGCTTTTTGTACACGGAATGATAGATTTGGTCCAAGAACCGGGTCTTGGAGACCGCCTACACCTGTGATCATCTTTTGCATGGTGTGGATTACCATGTCAGGCAACATTTGGTTTGTTAAAATATCGTTCAAATCATTGGAAGTGAGATTACAGTTTGGTGATAATGGTTTAGTCTTTTTATCGCGAATCTATCATTTTCATTAATAGTAACTGACTCCTCAATAATTATACTATTCCCATCAATATGTTCAACAATGTTGACCACATTTGGCTCGGTTTTGTATTTTTTTCCTCTAGAAATATTTTAGAAGATGCAATAACCATATCTTTGTGATTACCAACGCAATCAGTAGGAAGCTTCATTGGTTTACGAACAGGAATTGGAATATTCTTTTTTAAATGACAAGGCATTTGATGTCCAATGGAGAAAGCGGATTTCCTGATTCTTTAGTTCTAGTTTTTTCAAGTTTTTTAATGAGAGAAGCAAGAGTGCTATATACAAGTACAATTTCTTCTGAATTTTCCTCAAATTCATAAGTTAGGTTTTGAATTGTTGTAAGCATTTCCCTAACATTTACTCTAGAGCAAACACTTGTAATTTTTTTAGATTTTTCATTCCAATCTTTAATGACATCTCATTCTTTTTTAGGTAGAATTGAACTTTCCGGCCTACTAAACGGTGGTTTTTCGTGTGATGCTTCATAATCATCAGCATCAAAGTTTAAGAATGGTGAATTTAGATATAATAATGACAAAGCACTCCATGACCAGGGTACTTTCTAAATACTAAAAAAAAATGTTTGCATGGATATGCGTTTGATATCCAATTTAAACAAGTACTTTTTGGCATTGTAATCTCATCACCAAATAATACAAAATATTTAGAAGCTGTCTTGGTAGAACTTAATACAGCAAAAACTCCATGTTTAATCATGATTACTCCGGATAAATCAAGATTCTCAGCGTTACTTTTTTTTATTAGGCAATGTTTAACAAAGCTATGAGAACGGTTGTAAAGATAACTTGGCACCCAACGTGCATACCTTCTGTTACGTGCATCCATTTTAAAGTTGGAATCAGTATAGCTAAACGAAATAATATTCATAGTAACAAAGTTTCTTTAATAAAGTATTAGGAAAAACCAATATTGTGTAAATGTACAAATGTTAAAGTGATTTGGTATGTAGTACCATAGACACGATATCTTTAAAATGCAAAATGTATTGATAAGGAAAAAAAATTTTATATTAGTTACGTGAACAATGTATACTATGAATTATTATTAAATATATAAACCTGCTGATCACATACCTAGGTTTTCTGAACTTGTTTTTTTTAACTGATAAAGACTTTTCTACTGGAAAATAAACCAGTGGAAGTGTTTGTTGTTTTTATTTAGGTGTGTATTACTTTTAAAAATTGCTACAGACGTAACGAAACTTTAAAAAAATGATACTTGTCAAGTTTATCAATGAAGAAGTCGTCAATAAGCAAAGTTAACATTCCAGTCAATGATGAGTTTTTATGTCGCTATAAATAAGTATATTTGAAAGACTCATTCTGCCTTTCCACACCATTGTTTGTATTGCAATTAATAAGAAGACGATCTTGCCTGTACCACTTAACCCACCTCTAACTTAAAAAAAGCTTTTTTTTAATGTTGTTTTGTTCAGTTAAATATAAAAAAACTAAATAACTCTTTGTTGAACCTTCCTGTATTTCGATAAAAATATATATTAAACGTCTTACTTGCTTCGAAAATTTTATATTTTACATACTTTTTTAATTGGGAGCCAATACTTTTCTATATATTGTTTAAACTTAGTAAAGCTTTCTTGACTCCAGAATTCAGACTGTTCCAATATTCTTTGAGCATTTTCTTCCTCGTCACTTGACTTTGACCAAGCAAGTTGTCTTAAAATACATAAAATGTCATCTTTTCTGTTAGAGCAACCACTTGATAGCTTTTTTAGCCAACGCACAATGGGCTAATTTTCAAAAAAGCTGGCCAAAAGTCAAAAAAAAAAAATCGCTATTTTGAATTTATTATTTTGAAACTACATAAACAAAGCCCTGTTGTATTTTATTGTATAAGAAAAAATTGTATAAATTTTAAAGTTACCTATATCTACGCAGTTAAACATCTGTTATTAAAAACACATAATTGGCGTTTTAAAAGCAAAAAAAAAAATGTGGTTAAATAAGTATCGTTTACAAAAAAGTTATTTATCGTTACTAAAAAACTAACTATGGACGATACTATTCAAGGTATTTATATAATATTTTAGTAAAAAGTTTTATATTATTTCTCTAAATTTTATGCGAAAAGTGCAAACAAAAAAGTACAGAATAAAGTTTATTTATTTTCTTTAACCTATTTTTCAAGCATTGAAAAAGTAGTGAACCCGCGAGATTCCGCTTAGTTATAATTTGGATATTGTTCATAAAAGTGTATTCTAAAGATTGGTTAAAAGAAAAGGCACCTATTTTTGCCTATTACTTCATTAACTTATATTGTGTAGTGCTAGTCGTGTTTTTAGTAAACAAAATGGCGGTGTTTTGTTTTCTTTACAAAATCAGTCAAATTGTAAATAGATATAGTTATTATGTTTCTTGAGAAACTGATTTTTTTAAGTGCAATAAAACTACAATAAAATTAGTAGCACACATGAATGAGATTTTGACAAAGTTAGAGTGTAGGAGGGGGGGGGGGGATAAACCCCCTCGGTTACGACAATACATTTTTTAGTTTCTTTTTATCATCTGTTGAAAATTGGAAACAAATTTTTCTTAATAGACACAACTGTGATTGCAAAATATCAAGCTGGTCATCTAGATCTGAAGATAACTCGGTTTTTAAAATTTCAAAAATTTCAATTCGAGGAATTTGCAAATAATCTTTTTGTGAACCTTAGTAATATTTGAAAAAATCATAAAAACATTATAACTTTACTAAACTAATTAAAAATAAAATAAAAAGTAATCGATAATATATTATTTTATATAAATTCGATATATAAGAGAAAGGTAAAATATACTGTTAATCATATGATTGTATATAGATATAGTTATTATGTTTTTTGAGAAACTGATTTTGTAAAATTTAGTAAAACTATACAAAACTTGTCGTAGCTGAGGTAAAAAAGACGACAAAATTAAAAATAAAATGGAAAAGTAGTAACCGAACAAAAAAAAATATTTTTGAAGACACATGACACTTGGTTAAAAGTTAAACTCTGAAACTCATTCGTCTGTATTTGAGTTTATCAACAATATTTCAATAATAAATGATTCAGATGACAGTGGTGATTTATTTTAAAGTCATATAAATGAAACAATTATGATAAATGATGCAAATAAAAGTTTTTCTTGTTTTCCTTGAACAAATAAATAAGTAGAATAAATAATGAATTTTTCAATTTATTTTTCTTAACATTGCGGCATAATAATACGGTCATAATACATTATATATCAGTATTATATATAATGTTTATATATGTAATGTAAATAATACATTAGTCTATTGAACTTAAATGTCGAATTAAAACTAATTGGTTAAACACGAAGGCCCAAAGGCATTTCTAATGATTAATGTTTTTAAAACACCGCCATTTTGGATCTGCCATTATTGAATTTTGGTACACTTATGTAAAACTCAAAGTTGGGGATTCAAAAAAATGCTATACAGAAATTTTCCATTAATTATAATCATTTTTTGACTTTTGGTCAGGTTTTTTGAAATTCCGCCCACTGTGCAACGGTCCCAAGACTGTTCTCTGTGAAAGTCACAGATAAATACCTTACATCCTAAAAAATATATTCAAAATAAGTTAATGCATTGGATGTTCGTATAGTTAAATTAACTTCATGTAAAATAAATAAATACTAAACTTGTTTTACAAATACGCACCAATAAAAATAGTTTCGAGAGCACGTATCTCAGCATTACAATAATCGGTCATGCAATAAAAAGGTTGCAAATTTTCATTCCAAGACTTTAAGATAACAAGTGCTTCAGATATCGATTCAAAAGTTTCATTTTCGCTTACAAAGGTTGCTACAATTTCATAATCCACATTTGTTTTGACAACCAAAAAAAAAAAAGGTAAAGAATATCGTGTCGTTTTGTATGTTGCATCCAAAAACAACATCTCATTACCATATTTTTTTTAACAGTTTTTTTTGCCAAAATGTTTAGTATACAAACAAGAGCTCAGCACTGTTACCCCGTTCTTTAGGTCGAAAATAGATATTTACAGATGAGTCAGCTTCTTTCCATTTTTTTATTTTGATTTCTGAGCAATCCTGGTCGATGTTCGAGTATCTAAAACGTTAAATTTTATTGTCTATTTTAGAAAATGAAATGTTAAATTATAAAAATTAGTAACATACCTTTGTTGTTATCTTTAATTATATGATTGAGTGATTAATTGATTGAATTGGTTGATTAAAAAGATTAATTAAATGAATGAATGACTGAAGTTATATTTAATATTTAATAAACACCTAAAACCTCTCTTAAATAGTCCTACATAAAATAATATTTGCAACATCAAAATTTATTTATTTTGCATTTTTTAAACTCTATTACCTTTGCTTTAGACGCTCTTTAACCATGTACGAACGAATTATGTCAGTTCTTGGATAAAATCTTCTGTTGGTTCTAGAAGGAAGATTTTTCTTTCCAAACATTTCAATGACAGTAAGTCTTCTCATCTCACGAACATTAGAAACACCATCTTTTTTGTATTCAGAATTTTTTACTGATAAGCGTGGATCAATTTTTTGGGAGAGTAGCTCAATCTAAGAAATGTTAAAAAGATTTACTGTTATAAAAACTAATTAAAACAAATATCAGAGTTTTATATCAGAGCTTCTTTTTTCATAGGCGAGTGGCCTTTACAACGTCTAAAAAGTCCACATGCCCCAATTTAGGATTTAACGTCGTCACCGTTTTGTGTAGGCACTTTATGAATATACAAAAACTATTGGTTATAGTTAAAATAAGACTATTTAAGACAACTCTAGCATTAATACCTTGCCAAGAGGGTAATTTTTGTGATCATTTAAACAGCCTATCTCAACAATAATTTTTCGACTAACTACCACATCCTTTTTTTGTAGCAACGAATCTTTTATTTCTTTTGACTGTTGCTTCTTGCGATAATTACTGGGAATAATAAGCTGACTTTATGACTAAGTAACAAACAATAAATAATCAAAAATCATTAAAATACACAGCCAAACTAAACTTTATGTTATATATTATCCAGTCATAAAAAGAAATAATCAAATCAGAAAAATAAAAAGAATGAAAAATTTAAACATCTAAATCTAAATCTCAGCTTTCTTGTCACTTTTTTTGCTGCTGTAATTTTTTCTAGTAAGTCCTGCTTTTCAGAGGCAACTCTCTTTAGCGCATTAGATTTTAGAATTGTTGACTTTATTTTTATCAATGATTTCTGCTTTTTTGCTTGCAATGCATACTCATCTGCATCATATCTGAGCTAAAGTATGGTACCATCAACGGTGTGAACTTGTTCATTATAGTAATCTATTTATTAAGATGAAACTAGTAATCTCTTTAATAAAATTTTTCAGTTTAGCATCACGGTCAGTTTTTAAAGCATTCAAGAACTTCTATTTCTGACTGCTAAAGTATAGTTTTCGTGCATCCTTAACATGTCCCATAAGTTTAGTTGTCATAGCCAATAGGGATGATTTTATATTTTAACTACACATGTGGTCATGTACAATTCTCTGTGCAACCAGTTAGGATATTATTACTCAGAAATTGGTCGTTTATACTAAAAACTGTTTATTCCACTAAAAACTGTTGAACTTCTGTTTTAAAATTATAGATTTGTGCATTAGTAACTTTTTTTCTAGATTTCAGTTGCTGCAACTCATATTTTATTCCAAACCCAAGATCAATATTTGCAACCAACACTTGATTTTTGACACCACTGATATCAAGTTTTAATAATTTAAAAATTGTGGATGCTTCAAACAAAACTTCATTTTTGATAAATTTTGATAAAATTTAATATTAAAATAAATTTTAATAAAAATTGCCTCAGTAAATTCTCAAGTGTTTCCACAAGAAAAAATGTCATAGGATTGTCAGTTTGGAAAACTAACAAAGAAGAATTTAGCAGTTTTGCAGTTTCCTTAAAAAATTGCAACTTTATAGGGACTAACACATCTTTATACCATAAAGAAAGGTATTCATAACTAGTATTTTGCACAGGCTTACATTGACCAGGTTGCTTGCTTTTTTTTAAATTTTTTCAAATGTCAATAATCACAATAATCTTGGGCCATTTCCATAGTTTTCTTTGCTACTTTCTCATTTTCAATCCAACGATGGCTACAAAACTGTAGAGCATAATCTGAAGACTGAGCTTGAGTCAGTACGAAATCAGCACGACAAGAAGGGCTCACATGGAATATCTTAAACAATGAAGATAGCAATTTATTCAATTTCCCTCTTGAAGCATTTGGACCATTCTTGAATGAACAGTGCATTGTGTGAAGGCCACATGATCCAATTGATAATAACTGACTGAGTTCACATTCACTTCTCTTAGCATTCAAATTAGAGAGGAAAGACATGTTAACATTTGGACCATCCATGGAAACATGGAGCATTTTATCTTTTTCTAAACCACTCATACATTTACGGAAATTTGGCATAATATCGACAGCAGCAGCTTTTCCCAAGAATTTAGAGTTGAAATATCTTGTTTTTATCATCTCTAATGAGGAGTCCCAATATCTAACATGCAAATCTATCTGACTTTTCTTGTCAACTTGGTAGTAAGATTGATCAAATTGGCAAACAAACTGATTAAGCTCTGATAATGTCTCTCACAAAATTTCCTTAAAATATGGTGCAATTCCAAAGCACACAAGATAAGTGCACTTTGTTTTCCCACAATAAAATTGTTTAACTATTTGACTATCACTAAACATTGCAGTAAATAATTCAGATTTATTTGCACTTGATCAAAAAGAATGTTTTGAAAGCAAAACTTCAACTGCCCACAATATTTCTGCTTTCTTTGCTAACTGCTGTGGACACAGTGCCGCTTTTGGGCTAGTTGGTGGTTCTACAACAGTTTTCAATGCATATTTATCACAGACAGGCATACATTGTTTGTGTTTGTTACCATTAGCATGTTTTTCCAATGCCTTTGTACCCAGACCTGCAACAGAAATGACTTTCAAACATATCTTACATTTTACTGAATACAAATCGTTGGAACATTTTTGTACCCATTGTTTATAATTATTGTCATTTAACCAATGATTTTGAAATTTAGTTTATATTTGACTGACATTTTCTTATCTAAAAATACAAGAATATTTGGGTTGACTTGGTAAGATAAAATTGTGAATAAAAATAATTTTAATTCCAAGAATTGCCACTGACAGAAATAAGAAAAAAGTGTCCTTTGAATATATTAACATATTAACATGTTAAATATACCATGTTAAATTTATACTGTTAAACAGATATAACTTAAGTATACACAGTGTACACCTTTGGCTCAACTGGTGGCTCAATGACTGTTTGTATTTCTTTTATGACTCACAGACATATATTGTTTATATCTTTATAACATATAACATTCAAAAATACATGTTTTTTTCATTAACATGTAATTTCAATGTGTTTGCATCCAGATCTGCAACATATAAAACTTTTAAGCATACAGCAATCATCTAGGTTATATTTAAAAAATTCAGTATATAATTTGCAAAAAAAAAATTTAACAAATGTTAAACAATGCAGAATAATTTATTTTATAAATTTAGCATTTGGCTGGTGGCTTTCTCAACTTTATGATAAGTGATAATTGAAAAAGTTAACAAAAAAAAGGTATTGCAAAATTATATTTTTAGAAAAAAACTTATGGCAAAAAGGAGTAGTTAAAAGAAAGATATTCGGAAATAAAACAATCATCAAACATACCTAACATAATAACATAATACTTAACCAAATAAAATTTTTTATATTTATTGTCTTTTAACCGCTTTTAAAATTTAGCTTTATATTTGACTGACATTTTCTATTCTGAATGTACAAAATTATTTTAGGTCAATTTAATTAAAATAAAGTTTTAATAAAAATAATTTTGATGGTCAGAACTTAGGCAGAAATAAGAAAAAAAAGCTTAAATTTTATTAGAATAAAATTTTTAAATTATTAAAATATTACAAAAATATAAAAAAAAATTTGAGTAAATTATTTTCTATCAGTAAACAGCAGCACTAACTACAAGTCTGATCCATTTCATTAACTTTATTGTTGACTGGCTGATAATGGTTATTTCATTATACTCAGGACAAATAAATTAGGAGAATTTAGGAGTATTTGAGAAAATCACCTATACTTTAGGAGAAATTAGGTCTTTTTAGGATGTTTTTCAAATATTAGGATACTTTAGGAATTTAAGGAGGCGTGGCCACCCTGCTTCTTACCTTAACTCAGATTAAATTTTTTTATGTGTGGTTTTATCACTACTTACTTTGTTTGTGGTGATGTTTGTTTTAATGTTTCAACCCAATGTCAATTAATGGTCAAAAAAGTAAATTCCAGTCATGTAAATTTACTAAATTAAACTCATTTATCAACAGTATTTTTGCTGAAATAAAAAAAGAAAAGAAATATAATATGGAAAAAATAGAATTTTCAAAACCACCATAACTACACCGAGATCACAAAACTTTAAATATTCATTATAGTAAATATCGTCGTTTTTCCAGATAATGTTAGCTTCAGTTAAAAATATATATTATACCTGAACTTCCAAAGCTCTATGGAGTGTAAAGGGCAGCAAACCTAACAGAATTAATGATTTCATAACTATGAAGAAATTGAGTAGCTTCCTCAACTAAATTGCAAATGCAGGGCTTGGTGTTGTCTAAAACTTTAAACTCATTGAGATATTAAATTATATTAATAATCATATCGAAGAATGCAAAAAAAAAAAAAAAAAAAACCTTTCAAAGTTGTAGTGTCTTCTTCTACTTTATATAATGTATCAGTAGTGTCTTCATAATCAGACAAATCTGAACCAGAGCTAAACAAAATAATATAATAATCCAGAATAATTCATAGTAGCTTTGGCTTTTTTACTTAAGTGATTTTGATTAATAATTAAAATTCATCAATAAACTTTGTGATGAGGAGAGCAAATAAGTAAAACTAATCATTTAAATGATGTTCAGTTTTAGAAGCTAATACACGTATACACGTGATACATGTGGCAGAGCTAAAGTAAAAGGCTGCAAATTCAAATCATTGTGTCACTAGTATACCGAATTCCAGGCTCTGTAAAACCAAAATCCAAACCCCATGTTGCATATATAAAGCATGGCTAATAATATAATTTTAAAAGTTGAAAATAAAATATAACTAGCAACATATATATATAAAAAGATTATTTATTTTTTTATTAGTTACTAATTAGTTATGTAATAATGTCATTATGACATAACAAACTATGTAGATGTTAGTCTATGACAAAACCCATTTTTTTAATATTCAACTTGTTGAGTCATGCTTTAAAAAAAATTCTGAAAAATGACTGAGATAGTATTGATATAAAATAAGATCCATGATCCAAGAAAAAATGTTATCTGATTTGAGTTAAGGAAATTGTGCTTTACCAAACCAAATAGATTGCCATTACTTCTTTTGTTTTTCACTAATTCAATGAATATCTTATAGAAAAGTCTATAAAACTCATACATTATCTTGTATACTTCTTTTAGATCAAATCTGTGTCATTGTTGTTCAAGTGTCCATAAACCTAATTTAAGTATTGTCTGTATATGGAAGATGTTTTGCTACTATTATCAATTTGCTAAACCAATGATGTATTTTTTAGATTATCTTTTTAATAATCTTGGACATAAAAAGATGACAAAGTGATGCGAAATATATAAAGAATATATAAAAAGAGTAAAATAGTCCTTGTTCTTGGAACCAAGAACGAAGCCACATATTTCACAAACTTTAAATTAAAAATATAAATAGCTCTAAAAATTTTGTATAAATAGCTCAAAAAATGTAAATAGCTCTAAAAAATGTGCTGCATCTTGCAATAGATAAAAAAAAAACCGTTCATAACTATTAAAAAAATACAAACCGTTTTATAGAATTATTTACCTTATTGAAATTCATTCTATTTACACAAAAATGTTAACTAAATCAAAGCCAATGAAGAATTGAATGTTATGAAAACAAGGCACCGTGATATTGACAAAACAACAATTATAAAATCACAATAAGATTAACGGTTTTAAAACAGATATAACAGTGGCAATTAAAACAATATTGAAGTTCACTTTCGTTCTTTTGCAGCTGTAAGAGTAACATGTGCTTTCGAAGCTTTTTTTAGTATATTTTATTTAATTTGACATAAGTAATTTCCGTATAATTACGTATAATTTTCAAGTGGACTTTGATCGCCTTTTGAGTGATTCGTTCGATGACAATCACCAAAAAAAATTTAAAGACCTATACACTCTCTTATGACATGATTGTAGCCTTTTGAGAGTGATGATATTTTCAAAAGGAGAATGTTATTAGACTATGAACTAGCCTAAGGTCATAGTCTAATAATTAGTCATAGGGATGACAGTAATATATATACATATTTTTATATGTGAATGAATATATTCAGTTTTCTTTTTAATGACACAATGTCCTAATTTGTACAATAATAATGACATAATGGGTGTCTGATATTTGTTAGTTTCTTTGAGATTTAATATGTTTATGTCTTTTTTAAACTTTTTAGATTAGTAATAAAAATAAAAAAATAGTAAAAAATGACAGAGAAATGTTGTGTGGGGAAAGTTTTGAATAAAGGTTGTGACAAAACGTATTATTGTAGAATGATTGGAAGGATAAAACTAAAAGATATTGTGAGCACAGATGCTGAAGTTTTAATTCAAATAATTAGACACACTTTTAAACTAAATGAGGAGATATGTTTTCACCATAAAAAAGCCTATATTTCTAGATATGAAGCGCTTCAAAAATAATGCTGTGAAAAAAATTATTAAGGGATTGTGTAAAGTTGATAATTTAACAGCAAGTCAACTTAAGATCAAACCTTGTCAAAAACTTTGCACTAACTGTTTAAATGAATTCAAACTTGAACAAATTACAGGAAAATTTAGTCAAGAAGATGAAGACAAAGATGTTGATGATGAGGAGTTCTTCAGACCTAAATAATACAGTTTTAAATGAGTGCTTCTTTACTGGAAATATCTCCTCTAAAAAAATGTAAGTAAACGTGACAAATTAGAATATGGAAAGCAAAAAGTTAAAAAACTGGAAAAAAGTGACAAACCTAGTAGCATCAGCATTAGATATAGACCCAAAAGAAATAATATCTGAGAAAAAGCAAAAGTGCATTAACTGTAATGATTTAGACAAACTTTTAGATGAAATAAAGGAAAAAGTAAAAATCAGTTCGAATGAAGAAAAAGTTCAATTACTAACATTAACTCCTGATAGTTCGTCAATTAAAAAAACTTGCAATGCATTTTCAGTTTCAGACCATCTCATTAAGAAAGCCAGATAGCTAAATAATGAAAAGGGAATACTTGCTAAACCTGACGCTAAAAAAGGACATCCTTTGGAGGATATTGTTAAGCAGAGAGTCATTGAAATATATGAATCTGACCAATACACTAGATAATGTCCAAGAAAAAAAGACTTTGTTTCTGTGCGTATAAATAATGTTAAAGTTCATAAACAAAAACGCTTAATATTAGTTTGTTTAAAAGAACTTCATCTGGAATTTAAGAAGTTATACCCTGAACACAAAGTTGGATTCAGCAAGTTCTGTGAACTAAGGCCAAAGTGGTGCCTTACTGTTTATAGTAGTGGAAGCCACTCAGTTTGTGTATGTTCTTACCATCAAAATGCTAAGTTGATGTGCTCTGCTCTTCCTAACAGCCATTTAATTTAATTTTTTTTTTTTTTAATTATCTTCGCTTCCAACAAGGTTGCAAGCAACCAATAATTAGTGTTGGAAGTTACTGGAAGAAAAAAGATGAAGATTGTAGAGCAAGATAACGATTGACAGGCGACTTAAAATATAGCAAATTATATGAATCAGGAAAGCAAGATGAAGGAAGCGAATTACAAAGAGCTGATGTTCGAGGAAAAAAACTAGACGAATAAGAGTTTTTGGAGCACTTAGGAACAGTAACAGAAAAAGGATGAGACTTAATTGAATGACGAGTAACACGAGAATGAATTTTAGTAGATGGCACAAGAGATGCTAGCTCTTTAGAGCAGTGCCCATTATAGTATTTGTAGAAAAGAGAAAGAGAAGCAACATTACGACGATGTGACAGAGGTTGAAGGTTGGCTGCAAGAGTAGGTTCAACTACGTTTACAATGCGTTTTTGCACCTTGTCTAAAAGAGAAAGGGCATCATTAGAAGATCCGCCTCAGATATGGCAACAGTATTCCATACAAGGCCGGATTTGAGATTTATAGAGACAGAGAATAGAATCCTGAGTAAGAAAGTGACGAGCTCGATAAAGAGAAGCAACTTTAGCAGATGCTAATTTTGCAACGGATTTGATATAAGGTTTCCAAGAAAGATCAGAAGTAAGAGTTAATCCTAGAAGATGAAGGGTAGGAGACTCATCAAGTACACTACCGTTCATAAATATAGGAAGGTCTAAATTATTGCGATAACGATTGGCCGAAAAAATTGAGTTTTATCTGAATTAAAGTTCACCAGCCACTGCGAGTCCCATGCTGTAGCAGAAGTGAGACCTTTTTTGAGCTCAGTTGCCCCCTGCAAGCAATCAGAGGGAGTTGGCTTCTTATCGTGACAAGAATAAATGGTAGTATCATCAGCGAGCAATGCTACCTTAGATGTGAAAATATCTGGAAGATCGTTAATGTAAATTAAAAAGAGTATAGGGCCAAGGATTGAACCTTGGGGAACCCCTGAGGTTACAGAATAAGAAGAGGAGTGCTGTCCATCAAGGAAAACTTTTATACTACGATTGGAAAGGAAGGATTCAATAATCTTAAAGATGTTTCCAGATACACTATAAAAAGAAAGCTTATGGAGGAGACCAGCACGCCAAACTTTATCAAATGCTTTAGAAATGTCAAGAGCAATGGCCTTAACCTCTCCACCTTTATCTAATGCGCGATAAAACCTATCGGTTATTACTGATAGCAAATCAGCCGTAGAACGAGAAGATCGAAATCCATACTGATGATCAAAAAGTAGGTTATGAGATTCGAGATGAGAGATTAAGTGTTTTTTAATTAAAGATTCAAAAGCCTTGCTTATGATAGGAAGAAGACTAATGGGACGGTAGTTAGATGAGTCGATCGCTCTCCAGAATTTTTAAAAATAGGGATAACAGATGCTGCTTTCCAGCAGGCTGGAAAACAAGACTCTGATAAGCACTTGTTGAATAGTTTTGAAAAGATAGACGACAGCTCAGGAGAACACTTCTGCAAGACTATAACAGGTATGTTGTCCGGGCCGCAAGCTGTAGAAGAGTCTAATAGGGAAATCACTTTAGATACAGAAGCTGGAGTGATACGAATGTCGAGACATGGATCAACCTGTTTGACGGGTATATCATGTAAAACGCAACTAGTGGCATCAAGAGATGATATTGATGAAAAGTTCTTGGCAAACAATTCAGCTTTGTCTTTAGGTGAGGTGACAAAGTCTGAACTGTACAAAAGAGGTGGAATTACAGACTTGCCCTTATTATTGATACTATTAAAGATTCTCCAGAAGTCACGAGAGCCTAATTTTTGTGATAAAATACAAGATTTCATGATCTGAGAATAGCGGGTTTTGGCGTTAGACAAAACCTTTTTACAATGGTTCCTAGCAGTAATAAAGAGACGTCTGTTTTCTGGAGAATTGTTTTGCTGATAAATATGGAAGTAATGGTTTCGATTGGCTAGTTTCCCGACAAATGGGTGAATTCTTACGAATGTAAATGCCTAGGCCAAGCATGTGACTATTGGAGTCTTTACGAATTAAAGGAAGATAACCATCAACACTAAGATCACAAGATGAGACAGCTGAACTCAAATTAGTCTCACAAAGAGCAAGCAGGTCTGGTGAACTTTGATAGAGATAAGACTCAACAGAAGAAAAGTTACTTCGAAGACCACAAATATTGGTGAATGATAGGTTTAGCAGACTTGGTGATGACTGTGGTTTTTTGTGTTTTATAGTTTTTGTTACTTTATTCATTTTTAAATTTGTTAAAGAACTTGACTCGAAACATTGATAGTACTCAGTACACTGTTCTATAGCTCAAGCAATTGCCTCATTTCCACTAATAAACTCTAAGCCGTAACAAAGGGCTTCAATGTGGCCTTGGCAATTCACACCAAAAGTAAAAACAGGGACACCATCCATGCGCAACATGGCACTGTTAGTACTCTGATATTTTTCAGCTGTTGATGGAATCAGCCTCTCTGAGAGCTACCACAGAGTTCGGGAAATCTGACTACCAGCCGGCCTCAGAACCATAAAACTGAGTTTTAGAGCTGTACCCTCATTTGGAGATAATAGAATGAGTTGCCTAGTCATAAAAACAGAGACACAAACAAAACCCATGAATCGAGTCAAGAAGATCCAGCGTTCAACATCCTAAACTGGAAACAATGTATTAAAAATACATCTGCGCCAGCCTATAGATAATAGATGCTAATAGATGACGAAGGGGTGCGAGGCTGGTCAACAGATAGAATCTGTTTACCCCTTAAGCCTTTGCCTAGGAGGCCTTCTACAAGACAGCAGCCGGATGCATGTAACATCTGCCCAAGATGAGTATTTTTATCGAGACACCATCTCTAGCCTTTACTCAACCAAGAGCCCCAAGGCAGGGGGTGTTTTATGTCGGAGTTTGCATCTCCTAGCCTTTGCCTAAAAAGGCATATCCTACAATTATTACAAAGATTTAATGAAAGTATGTGTTTATAATACAGATAGTCGAAACTGCATGTTTTATCTATGTCCCAACTGCCCTGGTAAAATAAATTTGAAGA